GTTTTGAACTTTCTTGTGTGATTGACTTTAATTCATGCACTGCAAAAAATGAAATCCAAGAGATATTTATTATTCTAAGATGAGACTTTTTGTCTGACAAGATAGTTTTGCTTAGAATATGAGTATCTGATTTTAAAACTTGTTTTTGACATTGTATGCTTGTTCTAAGAAATTTAATGCTTGAAACTTGAATTTCAATTTATCTTTGTTTTAATTTTTATTGCATCAGCTTATAATGTTAGGCCAAGAAACTTAAAATAAAGAGCAGGTCTAGTCTCTACTCATATATATTTACAGACACAAAAAATAAATTGACCTTGAGCAACACATGGCTACATTTGGCAATTGATTGTGGCATGTAAAGACTTCCTTGTAATGGGCAGAAACCCTGAACAGGACCAAACACATTTTTTAAATAGCCATCTGTTGTGCTTGTTTTGGGCTTAGAAATTAATCATTACTGCTTGATATATGTACACATAAAAAACATTTTGAAAGTCTAAGTTTCCCTTTTAAGCATTGTATCCTTGCATGTTAACAAGATAGTAATGAAATGGAATTCACTATTGACTGCAGCTACAGCAAACAGATTAAGTTGCCTATAGATGTGCAAAGCAACAACAACAAAAATTCGATACAATTGTACAAATCTGTTGCATCCTCAAGATGTTATCCGACTGAAGTTAAATTCTGCAGCAATAAAAGTCTGACATCCATTTTCTTCCTCAAGCAGCTATTATCCTTTCCAGAAGTCCATTTATGATCACGATAAAACTCAAAATAAAAGTCGCACAAGCATTCTTGATAAGAAGCAGTCTGTTTTTGGTGGTCTCTCAGAGAGAAAAAGGTTTGTGTATAGCAATGTAGTTATCAAAATATTAAAGAAATAACTGTTTAATTTTAGTGGGTCTCTGGTCTTTATGTATTTGAGTCAGATAATAATGTTTTATTTTGTTATTTATGTATTTATTTTTATTTTGCAGGAGACACATTGTACTTTCAGCCCTGTAAATACCATGTTTTAAGTAATGTTTTCCCAATTGTGTTCCTTTTTCTTGTTTGCAAACTGACAGTGAACTTTGTTCATTCCTCTTCAGAGACCCCATTTTCAACCAGGACTCCCTGCCAACTGTCTAACATCTATTCCAGCCACAGGCTGGTCAGACAAAGCTGTCTCTGTTGCACAGAGGAATCCCCTCTGCGTTTTACAGTATCAACCTGGAACCTCTTTACATGCCATGATTCTCTCTCTCTCTCTCTCTATTTCCCTTTTCCCATCTCTCTTTCCACCCCTCCCATGCTCTCAGTTAGTTGGTGTTATAAATAGTAGACTGAGGAATGTAAGTTTTGGTACTTTTGTGCTTTCGAGTTCTTATAATTTCTCAGTGGCTCTCAGAAAGTCTTTTTTTTAGAGGTTTAAACATGCACCCATATGTCAAAAAAATCATTGAACAAAACAGAATAATGGCAACAGATGAGATTTGTTTGGGTGTATTTTTTCTTCAGTTTTAGTGTTGTATCCTTTGTCACAGAAATGGGCAGAGAGCAGCAGTCGGTGCAGAAAGAATGTGTCTGGTGTAGGACAAAAGCAGGTCGGGAATGATAATGCTGGTCCTAGAGAGCTGGGCTTATCCTAGCCGGCAGAATGGATTTCCTGTCTGCAGCCACCCTTCAGTTACATCCAACACACACTCACACATGCAGGTCACTGACATCAAGTTTGTGTTGCTACTGTTACGATTCGCTCAGGGTACTAAGTATCTCATTGCCTCAGTTCTCCTGGAGCCGGTTAGTGAGTCAAATTTCTCTGCTAGTCAGTGTTGATGTTGGTGTCCTGATGATATCAGCTGTTCTCTGGCACTGAATTTTATTGGAACACATATTACTTTACAGTTTTCAGTTGATAATGCAAGAAAGACACTTTTTTTTTTATTAATTTAACTTCTAGTAGGATTAGGCCCGATGGCTTTACATACACTGCCACATAATTTCAGTGAAGTTGGCTGTCCTGAAGTGAAAAATATGGTGCATATTTCCATCTTATTTTGGTCTGAGCATCACCGATTTAAAAAGTGTTTGGTATTATACTGAAACTGTCAAGTAAGGTGGTTGTATGAGGTAAATATTCAGCGATACATGGTCCAAATGATTGGCCTTATGCATGTCTCAGTGAGCCACAAACTTGTTTATTCCAGATTTATTTGCTAACTAAGCCAAAAGTAGACATTAGCCTCCTGTACACCCGAAAACCTTTCCTTTTAGAAAAACATACAGTTTATGTTTAATGCTAACCATTTTTTCTTTTATTTTTTGCGAAAACATAAGAGTGCCATCTGTGATTACTGCACTCTGTTGTCACTCTGTGTCGTTAACCTGCAGCGTACCTGCAGTTGAACAGAGACTCATCTTTGAGTAATGCTTTGATTGTGGTGCAACATCTTATGTTAAACAGTTTTTAACTTTTTATTATCCCCAACCAAAACCACACTGCATTGACTCTATCAAACACTGTTGGCTCTACATGTTTTACTATTGGGTTGAGGACATACATTTTTATGATTTTATTCCTCAAGTGTCTGATGTGGAATAGTTATCAATTCTACATGACAAATTCCACTATGAATGAACAGAATAACTGCGTGCCTGTGTTCATGTACTTTTTACAAATACTCAAGTGAGCTGTGCTGGAACATATAACTCAGTAGTTCCATTTCCTAAGAAGGGTCATATTCTATTACAGTAATACAGTATTGTTTATACCCACGTATGAACAATATTTAATCATTCCTTTTGCAGGTGGGCATAAATCAGGAAAACAGAGCCAGACGCAGAGAGAAAACAGTAGGGGAGGATTTGTGATACATTCCTCAGTAAGCTCACAGTGTTCTGGACATTAATGATTTTGTACCTCTTACTGCATACACACATACACACATAGGCACAGACTGTGCAGCACTGTAGACATTCAGAGTTTCTGTTTTGTGTCACCATAGTAACAGTTAAACATTTCAATCTGTTAGGCATGCGTGAACTAAACTGTGACTCATTTTAACCCCTCCCAAAACACCAGTGCACGCTTTCAGTCTGGATTCCCCAACCACATGAACAAAAAACCCCCTCATCACACACAAACATTGAAATCCTGAGTCATCATACCTCTAAACTTTCCATAATTCAGTTTTAGGGAGAGAAGCTAATTTACCTTTATTGATTTTTAATAGAACAAATAGATTTTACCTCATCACCTTGACTCCAAATTGACTCCACATGGATGAATCCGCTCTTTGCTAAAAATGATGACGAGGAAGATATAGGAAGCAACTGCTGGCTCGCACTGAGGATATATGATCTCCATGATGGATTAAGCCCATTAATGAGAAGCATATGACTTCCATACTGACAGTGATATCCTTAGGACATGTGCCAGAATTGGCCCAGGAATCCCAACAGACAGGTAATTTAGCTGCCTCATCTCTGAAGCTAAAAGGAGACTGTGACCCAGAGCTCACTAGCAGAAGATAAAACAGATCTTGTGGACATGACTGTACAATAGTTAGGTAATGATACCTCCCATTTCAATTGGCATAATTCCCTTTTGTTTTCCTCTGATGTCATCTGGATCCATTTTTTCCTCATATTTCTTTCACTAAAACCCCGTGAACCATCTGATGTAAGTATAAAGAAATCTTCTCTTCCTTTATCACTGTTGTTGGTTATTGTTGCTAAGACAGCTAATATTTAAGCTATTAGGTAAAAGTGGGAAAAAGAACTCAGAAGAGGAATTATCATACCTACAGTCTGTTTAAGAATCCGCTCCATCTCAAAGGTGTTCTTGTTTAAAGGAATATTCCGGTGTAAAATTAATTTAGGGTCAAATACACTGTAACACCGAGTAGCAATAGCAATACAGAGAGCCACGCGATTAACCAAAAAGCCATTCTATAGCCACAAATAATGCTCAGAACAGCACCTAACTTCATCAAAAGTTCATATAGGGTCCCAGCCATAGTACTAGCCACCAAACATCTTTTTAACTTAGCCTCATTTCTTTAGCAAAAAGACTAAACACAACTCACCTACTCTCTTCCAGCAGCCGCTTGTTTGTATGGAGACCTCCGGGCGAGTCCATCGACTGCAGCGGAGTTTCGCAGCTTAAGGAAGAACATTTATGATCATTTCCTCATGAAAATGCAATCAAACCGAGATGCTAAGGGAGCAGAACCACTGCATCTGCATTGCAAAATGAGTGATATGATGATTATTACTTCAAGGAAATGATAAATTAATGATCATAAATGTTCTTCCTTAAACTACGTCTCCGTACAAACCACTCTGATCGTTTTTTTTTTTTTTAAACTACTTGAAGTGTTCTCAGTGGTTTTTAAATGGCGATTAAATTGTGTCGTTTTTTTATTATTTATTTTTTTTACCAAAAATCACGTTGCCTGTATCATTTTTACAGGCTTTTCTTCTGCAGAGCTCCAGTAGCTCATTGGCAATTCGCCTCTGAGTCGTGGGTGGAGACAGCGCTGCTCGTTACACTCTTCTTCACGCTAGCTTGCAGCCTAACATTGCCGGTGTAGTAGAAGTGGCAGTTAACATAGGAGTTTTTCAGCTCTAGGACACTCATGTCTTTAGGGACATGATGAAAGCTAATATCATAATTAGCTTTCTTACAAAATCTCACTGTTTCTGATCCTGCCGTTTGGGTCTGCCGGAAATTCACAGCAATTCGAATGAAGAAATATTCAGAAAAGCAATTTCGCATTTAGATTTCTCATTATCTGTCCTGTAGCATCAGTAAAATGACATATGAACATATAAAAAAACAAGAAAAACATGATTTTCATCGGAGTGGGTCTTTAAGAAAAGTTTCCTTGTTTGGTGTCTGTTTATGTCGTACCATGCTGATGTGATTTCAAAGATACTGGATGCAGGTTTGACAGCACTTGATGGTTGTTCAAAAGGTTTTCACAGTAACATACACATTGAATGTCTGATTTTTTTATTTTACTGAAGTCTTGCATAGAATATAGAGCATATAAAGTGTAATGAAGTCCTCTAAAACCAATAAGGAAGTTGTATTGTAGACTCTTCTTCCAGGTGTGTCTCTGTCTGTTTCCCCCCTCAGGGCTACACCTCCTCCACCTCCCTCTGTCTGTCCTCCTGCTTCCCCAGTCTTTACCCCAGTGGGTTCTCTCCACATCCAAACCAGATGAGCCAGTCCCACAAGACACACATGCACTCCACCCACATCTGACAAGAGTCTCCCCCAACCCTCTCATCCACCATCCCACCCACGCTCTCACACGGTGATGTCACCTTGTCTCGCACCCTGAAACAGGCGTCACAGTTCAGCGGCGGGGCTTGTACGCTGAGGATGAGTATAGGTGGCCGGGACTTAAGTAACTGACCCCTGTGGCTACCTGTTTGCTTGACTGTGTGTTTGTCATGTTAACAAGGGGTTTCAGGTTTCCACATGGCAACACGGTGACAAGAAGAAGCCACTCCCCCTCGCAGAAAAACAGCTGAATCTCTTCAGATTTGCCAGGTCACCTTTCCAGGACTGGACTGCTCAGTGGCTTCTCCAAACACCCTTTTTTCTAAATCTCATTTTTTACCCTTCTTTTTAAGTATACTGCAGGCTGTTACATTGACATTTCTGTCCCGCCTTTTGGCTTGTTGATGATGATGTTTCTCAACCCAGGGGTTCCCCTCCTTAGGGAGTGTGGAATGACCGCACCTGACCCTCGCAAAGGAGGTTAAAAGATAAGAGAAAAAGAAATCTGTTAGACACTCAGTGCAGCTCAAGTAAGGAGTTCAGTACTGAACATGCTAAAAAGCAGCTGTCTGGAACGTGAGGAGAACATCTTGCACTGGAATGGTGTGGCTAACTCCTAACAACACTATGAGAGGTGGGAGGAGAGGCTGGCTCCCATACAGAGGGTGGGACTCTGGGACCATGGAGCTTCATTCACTCTGCTGAACACACACACACACACACATACGCACACACACACATGCTCCTCAGTGCTGTTCTCAGGCTGAGAGAAAAGAGGGGAGCAGTGGAGAGGACAGCACGCTCGCTGAGTAAGTTCTTTGCAGTTGTGTTGTGTGTGTTTGACCATTTTACTGCAAAAATGTTGTGTGTGTTTGACAACTCATAAAGATGTTGCATGCGTTCATCTGCATTTTTATTCGTGCCTTTACAGAGCGGAGCCTTTGCTTCTTTTTTCTCCTGCTGCTCCTTTTATTGAATTGAGCTTTCTTTTCTCTAACTCACCCATACACTCTTTTCTGCTGATGTGAACCACATGTCACAGATGCACGCACACACACATACACATACACACTCACTAACAAACACAGACGAATACAAAAAGGCTGCAGAGTTCCAGCTTCCCTCCTTGGGGCTTCTCCTCTACGTATACAAAAAGTAAAACAATAGGAATAAAAGTAAAACAGGGGCGGATAAGTGAGGGAAAACTTCAGATACACGCTGCGAGAAAGCTCTTGATACTCTGTTAAAAAAAAGAGCCTCCTCTGTTTTTAATTTGTTGTATTTAATCATTTTTGTTTTCTCAGTGTCTCATTTGAATTTCTCATACTCCAGCCAATCTTTGTATTCAAATGAATCTGCTCCCTCTCTTGCTTCCTCATGCCCTCATATAGTCCCACTGGCTTTTATTTTGACACTCTTTCTCATTTTCCATCCCTCTCTTTCTCTGTTTCTCATCCTGCTGATCTCATTGTTGTCTCAGGTGGTGACAGACAGGAAAAACAGAGACACTGAAGCGAGGCCAGAGGGAGAAAGAGGGGTACATCAAACCCTGGAGAGCAGGGAAGGTTCAGATCCTGGGTTTTGTACCCTGACAGTAGAGACACTGATCCTGGTGCAGGTACCACCAGGACTTAGATCCCAGGACCGACCTCCAAGATGTCCCGGAGGAGGTCTACAGGGGACCTGGTGCCGAAGGACATCACTGAGATATTAGCCCGGGAGGCCAGGGTTCAGCGTGGGCAGAAGAAGTCAGGAAGCTCTCTGGGACATGCCTTCAGCTGGTTTAAAGGGAGCAGGAAGAAGAAGAACATCGGGAGTGGGCTGAACCGAGCTGTTATTGGGGTGACAGATGTGAAACCGGCACTTCAGAACCATGAACCTGCAAAAGGTGAGTGTGTCAAGGCAATGGGCTAAACTGAAAGTTCTGATGTGGCGTTGATTCCTCTACACAAGTTGGAAAACACTAAAAGTTTTAGCTCTAGTATCACCAAATGGCTCAAAAATGTTGAAGGCTTTGAACGTGTTAAATATTCTTCGATCCTTTCAGCCTGTTGTGAAATTGACTGATTGGTTCATTCTGAAGCCTCTATATGACCCTAAAATACAATCAAATCCATGTTTGGTCTCTGTGCTGCATTATCAGTTTGATCACATCAACAATCATCAAAGTAGGATATGTAGTAAAGCTGTCGCCAATGCCAAGAACCCTAAAAGAATTCCCGCCAAATTTTCACTAGTTTGTTATTTTGGCCATATGGACCACAATGTTTTGGTTCACTTTCACTTTTCTCATAAACCTTATGTGTTTGCAACAGCAGGCAGCTGTTTTCAAGAAAGCAAAAAAGCAAAAGTTGAGCAAGATGTCCTATACCGAACAACAAAAACAAAAAAATTAGTCTCATCTGGCTAACATTTAGTGTAAAAAACTGCATAAGTTCATTAAGAATTTTTGGAGTCCAACAACATTGAAAGGGGAAAAGGAACTCACACATGCCAGGTGCTCATTGCTCAACTGCAGATTACGAAAAACAATTGTGTTTTGAGGTTGTTTCTTCACTTTGTTGTTGTTCTCAAAGTGAACCAATGGCAGATGTTTCTGTGTGAGGAGTACACTGTACACTTGAGTTCTGTCATGATGGGTTTTTCTGGTTCAGTTTTAGTTTTGATGAGGATTTGAGTTTTTCGTCAGACATGTTTTGCTGCTGTGGTGGATCTCTCTGATGTTTCAGTTTTGTTTTGTCTTTCATGGTTGCAGGAGGTTTAATCACAGTGTTTGGGAGGAATTTGTTGACTTTTGGATTAAGATGGAAAGGTAACGCTGGTTCTAGTATCATCAGAACATCAGTCTGGACTTTCATACGTCAGTGAAAGTGTAACAAACACCAACACACAGACGGTCACAGAGGTCTAATCCCTCTTTCTGTTTACTGATGCATTTTCTGGGTCGGCAGCTCGGAGATTACCCACAGTCCCCATTTCCTGTTTTTGTTCCACCTCTAAAGCCATCCCATTCTCTGCTGTCATAATGTGTGTGTGTTTGAGTGTGTTACTGTAGTTACTATTGAAAACATTAAGAAATCCAGATTCACAGTCCTTGTGAACTTTTTTGCTCTTTTGTGGTTTTGTGCCTTAAAGGGACTTCTTATTGTTATTCTTTACATTGAGGTTTTGGAGGGTCCATGGAGATCCATGAATACTGGATTGGTAACAATCACTGGGGTCAGCTACTTGATTTAAAACAAAGATTAGGGCCAATATTTTCCTGGTAGAGCATGTGGTCAGAGGCAGATTGTAAAATGTGTGGGAACCATGTGATTCTTTTGGCATTTTGTCTTAGTGGTAAATACTGTAGATCTTCACTGCTGCAAGTATGCTGAACACAGAAGCACAGACCAGTTAGGGTTAGGGTTGGTTAAATGGTGTTTCTCCCTCATTAGGTAATAATAACAGATTTAGAGAAAAATATGGATGTACATGAAATAAACAAGCCTTGTGGAGAACTGGTTTCATTGAAAAAACTAGCATGAGTTACTGGAAAATGAGTCGTACCAGTGGGTTTATCCATACCTCACAGCTACCAGTGCCCCTGTGGACTGAGCTTAACCACCAGATCTAAGAAAAGCTGTGGATTTGGTGAAGGTGGTCTTCTCACAGGGAGATGATTTGACTCTTTCTCCCTCTGAGCGCCTCCCTTTAAAAGATGATTTCTTGTATTCAAGTGGCATTTATATTCTGGATCATATGGTAATAAGAAAAAAAAAGGTATTTTACCAGCTTTGAAACCAATGTCACACTGCCCAATAGCATTGCACAGATACTGTTTGTACCATCAAGTCATTTGACGTTTATACATCAACACCCTTGATTGTGCAGTGCGCCTTAACCTCCAACCTGACATATTGGTGCCAGACAGGAGCTGCAGTTTTTAAAATGACCTTTAGATCTTTGTAACTGGAGTTCTTTCGGTTCACATTACAAGTTTTGTTGTTGTTGTTTTCTGACAGCCTCTTTGGTGTGTTTTTGCATATTAATAGCTCATGTCTGTGGTTATCGTCTCTTTATTGTGTTCAGTTTCTAGCAAGTTTGGTTTACTTTTGTATCATAGATTCTTCTGTAAATGCAGATGTATGTACCAAAAGATAAAGTTCGATTTTGGAGAGGAATTCAGTGAAATCTGAAAGGCAGAAATTCAAAGATGTTGTTTTACTGTGTACGCATATATAAGGTCTGTAGCCTGGAAGAGAAACACTCCAACCAAAAGAGCAGTTAAACTGCGCGACAAAATAAGACGTAAGGTACTTCACCAGCACAGACTACCTCGACAGGCTCCTGCCTCTGGGGCTAAAGGGTTGTCTTGTTTTCTTAGGCACTTTGTTTCCCACAAAGAAAGTGAGGTAAGCCTGTTTTTCAGCTGGTAAATGATAATCATTATTATTTTGCTTTTGCTTTGGTTCATTCATCTTGAACCTGCTGGGTGACTTAAACGGCCTGACAAGACAAAATAGAAGCCTGTACACTTTTCACAAACACAGACAGACTCACAGTCCTTTTTCTGAATACAGACTCCCACTTCATCCATCTATCCCATATTTATCTTAATTTTTCACATTTGAAAACAAAAAAGACTTTAAAACTTCACAATATTCACTCCCACAGAAGCCAATTTATTCAATACTGTCACTTTACTTTTATTTAACATGCTCACGACTTTCTTTAGGATCATTTTTGGAAGAAGTAAGGAGAATAAGATCAGCCTCTGTTAAAAAAATGACTCTCTTATTACTACAGAGTGTACTCAAATATGTTCTTGCAATTAAAAAAAAAACAGTCTGAATCTTGGCTTCAGGTCTCTTCATGATGTGATGCCTCAAACATTTCCTCATGTAGAAAAAAATGATTTATTTTTTATGTTTTTGAAAACATACATCTTCATTGCAGTTGTACTGGCTTTACATAAGTAATGCATCTTGTATCATTCACTAATAAATCACAGTACATTTTTCTGCAGCAGTCTTGCTTTGGAGTATTTTGATAATGTAGATGTAAATCTTCACTACATGACAAAAAACAATCAGACCCTATCCTCCCCCTTTCTTTTCACCATCTTGTAGCAATGACATACGGCTCCTACAATAATAAGTCTTTGTCGGTGGGTTGGTATGGTTAATGTCATCCCACTGCTTTGGATCTGCTCGTCTGTGATCCAGAGCCCTGCATGCAGTCCAGCACTGACTACCAGCTATATTTTACAAACATTCCTCCCTTATAAAAGCAAAAAAAAAAAAAAGAAAAGAAACACTCTTTGATGTGCTGAATTCCTTAGAGCTGTGTATTACAGCAGTACGTGTGTGTGTGTGTCAAAGTCTGTGGGCGTGCATGTGTGCGTGCACGGCAGCCTGGATGCCAGATTGGGCCTAGAGTTATGTGATGGAGGGGAGAGATTACAACAAATCACAAAGCCCCATTCAGCCTTGAGAGGACTCTTCAGGAACTCTCTCAATGCTTTTTTAATTAGAGTGACTTCTCAGCACACACACACACACACACACGAACACACACCTTTGTGTTTTTCTTCTAGATTTATCTGCCTCTGTCATTACTGACTATTACTGTTTTTGATTTGCGTCTCAGATAGCTAATTATTGATTCAGCACTAGTGCGGGTGTGTTTCTTATTATTGTGTAATCAGTGTGTGTTTCAAGTCGTGTATAGGGACGCCTGCAGAGCTTTGTGTGGATGTGTGACCGAGCGTTGCCCTGTATCAGAGGGTATCTCTGTGTTTGTGTGTCAGCAACATATTGCTAGGCTTAGGGCGGCGCCAACCCAGCGCCAGCACTCATTACATCACCCCAATACACACACAAAGAAGGCCTTGTGTAGAGCCCCCGCAACTACCTGCTTTGTCCAGCAAAGCACATCTTCGGCTGCAGGCTGGATGAGCGGTGAGCTCATTTCGCACAATCCCTGGGATTCCACATGTGCGTCAATGTGTGAAGTCATTGTTTTTTCCACATGTATGAAGTTTTGTGTATGTGTCTGGATGAGAAAACATTATACTGTGAAAGATCTGTTTGAGAAAGATCCCAGCAGTTTGTCTGTCTTCACTCCTTTTTGAATGTGTGTGTGGTTGCCACATCACAAAAAACTCAGGGTGTGTAAATTCGTGCTATATAATGTAGATTAGAGACCCAGCAGACTACTCGGAGAGCAAACATCTCATTACATGGAGAACATTGTATACAGCTTAAGCTCTATTACAGGCCACAACTCAGGGCCACCTTAATACAGTCTGACAGGATGATGGCAGTGAGTGGAGAGCAAAGGAAGGCCTGAGGTAGACAGGGAGGGGTGTGAAAGTTTAATGCAACCATACAATGTTCCCTGCAGGCATCTTTCACCGCTCACACACACACTTTGACCAGTGAGGTAATTTTACCTGGGTAAGCAGATACCTCCAAACCCTCATCCATCAGGGCAGACTCAAAGCTATGCAGGTGAGGTAAACGTCTCCCAGGCAACGGCATTGAGAGGAGCACACTGTGGAAACACTGCTGTGGCACACTGGGGTAACAAAAGGGTCCAACCATGATGTGGGAGTTAAAACATATGATGTCCTGATGGTGATGTTTAGTGGCAGGGTTTACTTAGAAGAGTAGAGGTGTGTTAAAGCAGAGCGGGGAAATGATGAGCAGCTGGAGATAACAGAGAAAAAAACTTGAAAGTACAGGAAGGAATGAGCTCTATAAGTTACTGCTCACATGTCTGTCCTAATCAGATTTACAGCTGTAGTGTAGTCTTGATGAAAACAGTCTGTACACACACACTGAAGTTTTCTTTGTTTTACTTTCTACTGTATAAAATATAGATGTAGTCTCAGTGACATGATCCAATGGTTTCTGAAGAGGCGGTTTGAAGGGAAACTGTAGTTTTAGCTGTGTTTGTTGTTCTGATAAGCCCATGATGAATGTGACAAAGACTAGTTTTTAAGGTTCTGCCCCTCTTAAACATCAATCACAGGGTGTTACCAAGGGGTGTGAAATATATTCCATGCCATGGGATATAAAACACTCTGTCTGACTGTTGTCAGGTTAGGCTGCTATGCATGCCATAGGTGTTTTTTTCCACAGTTGTAATGGGGCGCACACACCAAGCACGAGTAAAATCTTTTACTTGCTTGATTTGCGCGAATCTAGACACCTGAATGAATAGTATTTACTCGCTTCATTCGCACGTCAACTGTAATTTCAATGATAATCCCTGCCAATTCAACCGGCGGGATCAAGTGATAGGTTTTTTACAACTTACCAGGTAATTTCGACCTCCTCACTCACCTGCCTCCAGGCGAGCTCCTTTTTATTCCAATTTCGGTAATTGAAAGAAAAGGTATCACATAATTTGGGGCACCCACACAATCAGTTTGTCCTCCATTTTAGATACCGGCGAACAACCATCTGTTTTCATCCGTCACTCGGCAACCTTCGCGCTGACTAGTTAGGGTAACACAAATATCCGCCCAAGTTGAGACATTTTCAGCTCTCGTCCAATGCACGTCAAAGTAGTAGGAGCATCTAATGCGTCTTTGCATTGACCTAACATGTAATTCATTCGCGCTGATGATTTTACTCACGTTTGGTGTGTAGCGACAGTAAGGGAGTTTCCTTTGATTTTGGAGCCGGTCTAAGGTGGACAGTCCAAGAACTGCAGTTTCTAGCTCTCCTGCTTTGGCTTCATTGTTCAACAGGGGCAGCTGCTGCTCGGATGTTACCACATTTGTTTGTAGTTATAACCCCTTATAATAATATGGTTGCCATGATGCCTGTAGATGATAGAGCATTATGTAATAGTATTTTTAACCATGTACTTTTTAATGAGTCATGCAGAATCTTTGTTATATCAATAACATATACTTTACAAACAGATGAAAGGGCTTGTTAAAGTTACTTGCACTCAATATGCAAAGTGTCATTGTTTATGGAATAAGAAATAAGAGCCAGAGAGTTGTTTTACGAGATGTGTGTTTGATGTGGTGGGGAAGCAGCTGGAAGACATCAGTGTGGGGCTGATGGAGATGGAGTCTGTATACACAGGGATATACAACTGATTTAACCTCTGGATTGAAGGTGTGTATGTGTGTGTGTGAGTGATTCCTGTTATGTAAGTTGTAACAGACACACCTGTTAGAAAGAGAGTTTGCCTGATCCAGCTGTACACCCTCTCTTTCTGAGAATAGACGATGGCAATTCAGGCGGTCTTGAGAAAAGTGGAATTTGTTTCTGAAACAGTGTCACTTTGGTTTAAAATATTGGTTTCTGATTTTAGCTGCAGTGCTTCAAGCGGATTACAAACTGAAAAACTATTTGTGCTACATAAGCTCTAACTTGCATATTTATTTTTAGTGTGGTGCAGTTTCCCCCTTGAGAGCTGTTCAGTAATTTATTCTTGGTTTATTCATGCATTAGGACACCACTGATAAGAAAAGAAAGCAGCAGTCTCTAGATACATTTAGGCATTTAGAAACTTCACTGTAACTTTCATTAGATTGTCTTTTCAGTTTTTGGACTAGTGGGGCACATTTCCCCTCAACTTTGACTATGTACATGTACTTAGTTGCAAACCAGAAATTTGGCAACTCTCAAATTCCTGCAAGATTTGGGTGTGACTGTTGGATTCTTGTCGGTTTGGGAAAATTACAGACAGAAACACTTTGACTGTATTTTTAGCAGTTTATATAAACGTTTGTTTTCATTTCTCTTCATAAGAAATCTGCTGATACTATACAAGAAAGTAAAGATGCAGAGATGGTTTTCTACTATCCTAATATGTTTGATGGAACTGCCTCAGCACCTTTACTTTTTGTCCCATGAGAAGATTATTGAGCCACAGAGACCTTACAAGAGTTACATTGAACTTTTCCCAAAATTAAGTTGAAAATGTGTCTGAATTAACGGTACAGTATGCAGTATTTAGCAGCATTTAGCAGAACAAACTTGTTAGAAATGGAAAAAAGTGAGTCATCCTTACTATGAGTGTGTCTTGGAGTGTGTCCCAATCTCACATCAGCATGTTTCTATGCTAGGCTTTGAACAAATGCATTTTTGTATTTTGTATTTACTGGAAAACAAAGAAGAAGAGGAAGAAGAAGAGTGTGGCTGTCTGCAATAGAGTTTACACAAATAAAAGTTTTTGATGTTAAAAACTTGACAAATGAGGATAATTTTTATATCAATCTGATAAATTTGGGTGACCATACGTCCTCTTTTACCCAGACATGTCCTCTTTTTGGGGGCTGTCTGGGCTGTCCAGGTTTGTCTGGCTTTGTCCAGGGAAGTTTATAAACTCCTTCAGATGTCGGCGGTTTTGTACGTTAGTTTCAATGTTGTGTCACGTGGACTTACTGAGCTAGAAGCGCGTAAAAGACACTCGATCCAACCCACAAAACTCTAAAAATTAACTTTGTGCAACTCCGTGACTCCGCGCCCACGTAGTCGTGTCAGCTTTTTGGGAAGTCAGAATATGGTCACCCTAGATAAATGTGACTGAATTCATTTCAGACAGATAAAAACAACCTGAGCATAAAGTCTAATCACATTCTAGCAGCACTGTCAGATTAACAGTGTGTGTTTAAACTATAGATTGGCTTTTAAGGGAGTTTTGCCTTTATTAGATGGAACATCTAGAGAGACAGGAAATATGGGAAGTAGGGAGTGGGAGAAGACATATAGGGAGTTGAATCAGTGACCTCTGTGACAAGCCTCAGGACAGGGGAACATCTGTTTCAGCTGCCATGCCAACCTGCACTAAAACCAGTTCTTTTTACTCATGCAAACTGGATTGACCATCAGCTGAGTTGAAGGAAACAGGTTGTTGACAAGTAAACAGCCGTTATGTGAGTGAACTCAATATCATTACTTTGGACTGGAGTGAAAGAGAAGAGTCAAACGAGCGAACAGGATACAGACAAGTTGAATGAATAGACTTCTGGTCACCTCTTCAAGTTGTTATGGTTGCATCATTGAGCCTCTAAGACATTAATGTTAAAGGCAAGACATAATAGGAATATGATTATTCTGCCTGGAACTGGCGAAACTAAAAGGGTTGATGTGACTTTACGGTCTGAAAGCCTTTTTTTTGTGCTGGCAGTGCACTGCCACAAGATGGGAGTGGTGGGCAGATGTTGGCAGGTACACTGGATGCTAAAAGTAAACTGATAGTAAGTCTACTGAGGAGAATAGACACCAGCCATGCTAAATAGGTCAATCTTTAAGGGCTGCAGCTTCAGGTATCTCATTCTGAAATGTCTTCAAACACGACCACCAGCCTCAAAGCCTTCTGGTCTTGAGTACACACCAATAAAGATACTCCCAGAAATAGAAAGGTGGGTTCTCCTATACTGCCTAGAGGCTCCTATGATGGTCACCCTGACAACCACCTCCCCTGATGACTACCCCTTGACAACAGCGTTCCTCTACACAAACGTCCTTTAATGTCTCTCTGACTTGTGCGCTCTCCTTTGAGTTTCCCACGGCTGTCACATCCAAACATCGCTCCTGACACTGTCACACACTTTGATCACACTCGTATTTGAACGTATCTGGGGCATGTTTAGCACGATGTACTGCAGCTCAAAGGTAAAGGCAGGGAGCAGAACATCCAATACACACACACACATTCACTAAGTGCACTCTCATAGCTTTATGACAAATGAGGTGTCGAGCTCTGAGGACTCTGCTGGAGTAAATGGACTGGGTGTGGTTCTGGTAGGGCTGCATTAAGAGGCAGCATCTCTCTATGAGCATTTTATTGCAGATCATTTTACACTCCTCGATTTAGGAATGGGTGATATCATCTCCTCCTACCTTCATCCTTTTATCTATAGATACACTTATATATAATTTATGGCATACATTTAATCCCTATATGGATATTCACCCAGCCAAAAAAAATCAATTCTTCCTCTTAAGGAACAAGAGATTGTAAATTCTCCCCCATGACTCCTCTCAGTAAATCTGCTTTTTATGGGAGGGTCTTTATCTTACAGCAGGCCACAAACCAAAGAGGTGGGGGGGGTGCAGGGGTTGGAGGACACGTGATCACTGTGATCACAATCAAGAGTGTGTGGTTTCACTTTCTTGTGTCATAATCATCACAACCTTTTCCTTTTCCACCATTTTGTTCCTGCAAGTATCACCAACAGCACACTGGTGCTTCTATCGTGTCGTTTCTCTTCTGCGAGCTGCTCTATGACCTAGTTTTACACAAAAGGACCGCTATCGATCGGCAGGCTCCTCAAGTGACGTCGCTGTCGTTTAGTGACGGAAGAGTTTGTCATTATGTGGTTGTTGGACCTGTTAAGTCATGATCAAACTCAGAGACGATCTAATATTGTAGACATGGGAGCTGGAAACAGAAGGAATGAGACGTCTTTGTCTCTATATTCATCTTCTTGTGCTTGATGAATGTTATCTCACAACTGTATTAGTAGTGAAACAAATTTCAACAATGCTGCTCCTTCTGGAATCCCCCATCATCTCTACATGCCTCTGTGACTCACCCATCTGGATCAGCATCTGTATTTTCTCGAAGCATAGCTTGGTTTGATCTGTCCGCCTTGCACATACATACACTCCTCTTTCGAATGTTTCTCTATGTCATGGTGCATACCTAGGTTTAACTGTGTGTGTGTGTGGGTGGGTGCATGAGTGTGCAAGAAGAGGAATTTCAAAAGGTGTAAGACAGGAGAGCTGCACCTCTGAGGATCACTTGAATAATTGAGCATCTCTCTCTCTTGTTTGAAGTTTCTCTTTTTTCTTATCTATAGGCAGAAACACAGCTGCTCTGTGTCCCATCAGCTGCTCGCTCTCTCTCTCTCTCTCTCTCTCTCTCTCTCTCTCTCTCTCTCTCTCTCTCTCTCTCTCTCTCTCTCTCTCTCTCTCTATGTCCACTGTCACTGCATTGTGTTGACATAATCTGTCTGCAGTTGTTCTGATGGTTTTCTTCTTCTTCTTCTTCTCTCTTTAAAATGAAATTGGGACAGATGCACAACTGAAGAGCAGCATGTCTTTGTGAAGGTGTGTGAATCACCGAATGATCACATTTGTGCGTCTGTGTGTTTGCTGTGTGAACGCTCAGCTCTTGAACTCGACGCTCACAGGGAGAGAAAGTGGGAGGGGCACTTGCACACACAGTCACACACATCCACACACACACATCCACACACACACACTTGGTAGTGAGCTTGTCAGTATTGGATGCTGCCGATGCTTCAGCAGCTGGATGTGAGGGAGTGGGAGCGTGTCAGCGTGGAAAATAGGACACATTTGAGTGTTTGTGTTTTATTTTTGCATCCTGGATCTGTGTGAGCGTGTTTGATTATAAGAGTGTGTTTGTTTCAAGGGAATGGTGTCAGTGGGTCTGTAGCACACACAAACACTCTACTGTGGTTGGTGTGTCGGCGGGACTGAATCAGCAGGAATAACTTGACCACACGGATTACAGGTTATTGACTTTGACTCAGTGTGTATTTTTATGCGGGTAAAGCGAGGGACTGTGGGAAGGTCTCGGAAGATTTACTGATGTAATATAACAGAGGAACAACATGTAAGACCCTCTGTAGGGGCTTCAAGGCTGCCCCAAAATGGGGAACAGCGTCCAGAAGAAGAAGAAGGTCCAGGCAGAGAAAAACTTCTCTCCATCACACTCTCCAAACCTGAACCGGGAAAAACCTAAAAGCTTGTGGTTGTTTGGACGACAAGACAAACTGAAACCAGGTAAGAGGAGTGAGATGTTTGGAAATCAAACCTTATAAAGAGTTAAAAAGACTGAGTGATGGAGTGGAGAGTAGCTTTGTCTTTTCATCTTTAAAATCAGCCTCGTTTTAATGATCATTGTTCGACTTTGGAGCTGATTTATGTCGTTTACCGTGTCTGCCATTGTGTGTGTGGTCACCTGTGTAATGAAAGCCTACAGTAAGCTCTTTAGATGCAGAGTGACAATATTCCCATGCTGACTTTACCGTAGTCAGCTTCAAGGATTCCTGCTTATTGCACAAGTGTGCAGGAGAGGGCTGTGTGTGGGCAAGAGTGTTTTTGTTCCAGTGATTTGTTTCTCCCACTGACAGGATGACAGAGGTCTTTAATTGAAGGCTGACTCTGACTTTGCTTATTGCCCCTAAACCCCCATGCACCCCGTTACCACGCTGACTGAATGGGTGTGCTGTCTGGGATAGGACGGGGACTGACTTTCTGATCCTGTGAGTTGTTTTTTTCCAGACCACTATACCTGCAGTGGAAACAAAGTTTAGCATGTCTCGCACTGATCATTGTCTCTGTTAACAGCCCCTGAAGCAACAAAAAGCACCAGACAAACAGGTTTAACACAAACTCACTCTGACACAGACAGATTGCCACTGAGATTTGTCAGAGACAACATTGTTGATGACATTTTCTTTTTCTCAGGTGTCGCTTTTTCTGTCATGTTTTTATGTTTTATAGTCCGACAGATGTCTATTTTTGTTCCATCAGTGTTTAGCGTGTAGACGTCCCGCCCTTCTTTGCCTCTTGGACGGGGAACTTTGTGTTCCTAGAAAAGTGTGTATCAAGTCTTACGCTAAGTCAGGAACATCCGGATCCAGAAAATGATCACTGGACTGACCAGTTCCCTCCAGTTTTCATCTTTTAACATATCTTAAATTATTTTTGTTTTTGTTTTTTTCAGACTAGTCTCTTTTCCAGTCATAGCACGCATCTATTTTTAACCAACACTCTGAAAAACTTCACTGATCACTGTGATTATTCAAGCTAACAAATGTTGCGTTGACAGTTTTTGCAAGGGTGGCACATATTTGTTAATTATTCTGGCAAAAGATAATTGAGCAGTAAAATATGAATGAACTATTGTTTGCCTGAACCGCCTCTTTGCTGATAAACCATCTGAGATAAATAATTGAGGCATTTGAAGACAATGTTGGTGTTACTCTCTTTTTTGTTTTTTAATGTTGGCTCGTTCTGGGTGACTTCATTAAAATCTGAAGTAGTCTGTTAGTTTGGCACTAAGTAATTAAAGGGGAACAATAGTTTTTCATCCCAGAGGCTAAATCAGTGTGGCAAAGAATTTGACAAAAATACTCCCAACCCTGCAGCAAAAGTTTTAGGATTGCTTCAAGCTTCTGGCTCAATAAACATTTCTTTTGAAAACTACATGCTGATGGAGTAAAATCTCACCCAGACCCCTGACGCAGATTTGTTTTCCTTTCACATCAGACTGCTGTCTGAAAGTTAGTTTGAGATGGTGCTTTGGGACGTTATTAAATACATGCATCTTGTATCATTAGGCAGCATGAAATATGACCAGCATTAGCTGAATCCGGCCAGAAATAACAAGAAGACTGAGACCAATCAATTCTCTCCAGACAAGCTTATTCATGTTGGCTTTCTTGTACTGCAGCCAGATCTAACTAGTGTTTTGTTAACTCTGTTCATTAATAATTGTCTTGATAGTTAAACCCAACTTCCTCGCATCTTGTTTTTCATCAGTGTGACTGAAATTGGTCCCTAAGTTCCTGGTTTCCATAGTAACAACTGACCTCCCTGAACTTTGTGAGTTAATGGTATCGGAGTACGCATTAGATGTTTGTTAAACAAGACAGGGCGGTTTAGGAATCGTCTTCATCAGAACACAATACACTTGGGTGTGTTAGGTGGATTTTGGTGGTTGTATATATAATCAAAGTGTGCATATACAAATACATCTTGATTTCATTTTCTCCCAGGGTGGTCGGTGGTCAGTGTGGGTGTGTGTGTGATTATCGTCCTCTCTCCTCCTGCATGCGCCGCCTCATTCATGGCGAGTTTATTCAGAAACTTGGGGTGTGAATGCATTCCGACATTCCAGTCAATTTCCTTACGCATGGGCACCCATCCAGCACCCAAACGCATCAGCTTCAGAGAACTGCTCCAAACATTGCTCAGTGTCTGTTTGGTTGCTTCGTTTACTTCACAATATGCCAAAATGGACCAGATTGATCAATGGAAACAAAGAAAAGAGCTTATTGTGTTACAGATAATTGTCATTGCACATGTATTGTGTGCACCTGTACTCCTCCAAATTTGATTTGTTCACCTGTTAACTAAAGCTAATGAATTGCAGCCCCAGTAAAGCAGCAGCCACACAGTGCATGCTGTCTCTGTGCTGCAGTGTAGCAGCCCCTCTGTGTACCAGGCTGATGAAACATGCAGAAGATGAACTCACAAAGTGGATCCTCACTCTGTGCTTCTGAAAATATGTGTCATGACTGTGGTTTTGGCAATTTTTCAAAGCAGGAGCCCTGCCTGTGTCCTTCATAAACACCTGAGAGGTTGTTTATTTTGGTTGTACAACAAGTAACAGACTGGGAAATGGCTGGATGTCACACATCGAGTGTTTGGCTTTCCTGTATTCTTAGTCAAGGTCACCCAAGGGTGTATTGTTTTCCTCATGTTATTTTTCTCTAACAAGCTTATGATGGAGGGTTGAGACTGTAGCTGTATCTATGGTGAAAAGTCACATATGGTGAATAATTATCGTGGTCCAACAACTCTATAAAGGACATAACAACTCCTCAAAAGTGAAGCCAAAATGTTTTGAGCTCCTTTTTCTAACTCGTAGCAGTATCAGTCATCAAGTCCACCTCCTCTGTATTTAATGTTGGGATATTGGTCAAAAAGTGGAATCAAAATAAATGTAAAAGTTTTATTAAACATTGCTCTCTTTACAATTACCATAAAATTTCCAAAATGTAAGTTGTACTGAAACTAATGTGTTTCATATGTAAGTAAACATTAGATTAGACCCACTTCCTGCTACCAAGCTAGACTTGTGTGATCTCCGCTGGTCACTTGCCTCAAACTAAGGAGTCTTACTAGCAGGACACAAGATTTATTTATTTTATACCACTTTTTGAAATGCGTGATCACAAGCTAATGAGTCAGAACTGCTGTTTTTTTTTTTGTGTGTGGCTCTGCTACAGTCATCACGCTCACTTTGTATCCAGCTTACTCTTCAAATCTGCCGTGAGGAACAAGTTTTTTGTTGTTGGTCAGGCGACACCTGTGGACCAAAAATATGTCTTCTTTTTGTTAATGTTCTGTAGATGCCAAAGTAAAATCACATTAATCATATAATTGTAACCCTTTTGAAATGGAGTAACTCACAGGGTCTGACACCTATCTGGTGGCAGCAATTACAAGTATTTAAAAAGGCTGATCAATAGTAATAGTCAATCTCTTTGCTCATAGACTGAAGTGTGTAAAAATGGTCATCTTAGTTTTATCAAGCTGTCAGTTTCTAGGTTGAAACACTCCATCGCTCACTCTTTGAGAAGTGACAGTAGCCTCTCAGGTCAAAAAGCTCGAGTCATGCATGAAAAATATGATCCTCCATTTGTCAAGTTGTTTGTAGAAAACGGGCACTTTCTTCTTTTCCTATCTTCCGACCTGTGCAGTTCAAGCAGCCACTCAGTAAATACAAAAATACAAGTTTTTTTGTTCATTTCTACCATGGAAAATGGAAGCCTCCTAAGAAGAGGACCTCTGGTAAAGAGCCAATTTTATTTCCACTGGTCTACATCATGCCTACAGTTCAATCACGTCTCCAGCTCATTAATTCAAGTATCATGTATTAAAGACCCTGTTCACACAGCATGGTAACGACAGATTTGTCACAACATCAGTCCACCATGCAGGCTGCTTCGTGTAAAGACACACAGACATAATGGGGTTATGATGTCGTTTCATGGTTAAGCCTGAAAGAAACAGAAGAAACAGAGCCGGTTTGAAGCCTGTGTAAATGCGGGGGGCAGCACAGAGCTGAGTGAATGTGAGTATGTGTGTGTAAGGAAGGCGCTGATGTTTACACGTCAAGCATCATTTTGCTCCCAGAACTTTTGCATGCTGTTTAAAAAGAAAAAAACACGAGGCAGCGAAGCACAGGGACATTTTCATCATGCATTAAAAAATCCAAACTACAAAAAAGAGACAAAGCTTCGTGATGCCCTACTGTTGAAGAACGTTTGGTTGTGTTCTTGAACTTCTGAGTGACACAATATGTATGAAGAATTAAGATGTTGCCAGCTGAGCTCCAAAGTTACAAAGACTCCTTTTCATCTAACCAGATGAGCAGGAGGGCAGTGACAGATAACATAAGCTCACTATTGACTCACATTATTACATCCACAGGTGGTTGGCTCTTAGATACACACAAAGAAACTCTTTGAAACTCTGTCCTGTCAGCTTTTTCAACCTTGAGCTCCTTTAGAAGTTTTTGAAACAGCTGATTTTCCCCCAGATGTTTCCTATCACTGCCTCATAACCGTCCGCTCTGCAGGGAATGACAAACACAGTGTGTTTCTGCACGGGTGAAGAGATGCATGTCGGTTTGTTCGTCTAATGAGAGAGTTTGATCTGAACATGATGTTGAAATTTCAGGATATATTGTTGACATTACACCTCCTCATGCTTATTCTCTTCAGCTCAGCCCTCTACATCCCCCTCTCCTTCCTCTCCTCTCTGCTGTTATCTGCCTGACCTTGGATTATTTCCTGGTTATTTATCTCTCAGCATTCCAAAGGAGGAGATTTTTGCATCTGTTTTGATGTACTGTTCATGCTCGATGGTCGAATATAAAAGTGTTGTCTAATGTTGAACACAAGGGATCAAGAGGTGAAGTGAAAAATGACGACAGAATAAAGAGCTGAGAAGGTGACTCTAGTGAATATAATAGATGGAGAAGACGAGAAGAACATGTTGTACAAAGCTGTGTATAATGGAGGAACATGGCTACAAGCAGACTTCCCAGTCATTTTCACTACAGCTGTCTTGTGCGGGGTGTGATTTTCCATATCCCATTATCCTGCTGGGTAACGCTCGCCTAAGCCTTTTGATTTCTGTAACCAGGGCTGAGACGCTCTCTTCTTGGTCCTCCTTTGAAGATCCCATTTACTGTGTGCCCCTGACTCCCCACGGAGAGCTTAGGCAATATACAGCTGGATAAAGAGAAGATGACTTTTTGTCTCAGCTATCTTGCCCTCCTATGCCTCACCCCATCTCCTCCTGCAGCTCTGATCCTCATACTTTCAGTCACTGTTACCCACTGTGCATCTGACTGCTGTCCTCTGCTTTCTATGTATGCAAGCTAAGTCTTCATTCTAGTACAACAGCAATTTCCCAAACTTTTGTGCTGTATTTCTTTCATAGACTGTATATAGAATGGACAGAGTCTGCCTCCTCGCTGGGTGAAGCCACCCCGAGAACAGCACCCTCTATTGATGGGCTGCAGTATAGGTCATAAATCCTGCCTCCTCCAGCAATCCCTATGGAGCTGTGGACAAACTTTAGAAATTAATTGCACAGTATATAAATTTCTCTCCCCCCTGGTTGGGATGTTGACATGTAGTTACAGTAAGACTGGTTTGTGCTCAAGTCCTTTTTTTTCTGTACAGCTCCGTTTTTAAAAGTTATTAGGGGGTTCATGTTTTCTTTGATTGACACTTAATACAGCCTACGGGCGTACGAAGATTGCGTTGCTCACCCGGGGGATACTCTGTTTGAGCCGAGCATCATCACAGCAACTCTTGGAGACTCTCCTGCTGAATGCGTACAACGCTACTGCACAATGTTGGTTTCAGGAAATGGAGAAAATTTTTGGAAATACCAAGAGCTTTTCGGCTTCAAACCCATATACTGGCGGAAGGCGGAACTGAGTTGTCCATCGTATATACAGTCTATGATTTCTTTATGCTCTTTCAAAGTTCTGCAACAAGAAACCAAGAGAGATTAATGTTGTTGTTTTTTAAACTCTTTTATTAAACTCTCGCCCCGTATTTAGTCTGTTTACCTTTTTCCTCCATCCACAACTTTCTCATTTCTGTCTGTGCCAGGATAATAATAAGCCTTTGATTTGTTTAGAGTAGGTGGAAAGTCCCATCCCTCAAAATGCCCCCTTCTTTCTTCCTGTGACGATATGCTCCCATTACCTTAATGGCACCACTGTCTATCAATACTCTGCCAGTTTTAATTAGCGTCATCTATTTTCTATCTATAGCATCAAGCTGTGGCATGCTGCACCTAAAATTTACTAAGGATTTCTTTGGAAGTGAAGCCACTTACCTCCACCCTCTTTGCTGTCCTCTCATGCCCTTTAGACTTTGTATTTTGAATGTTTTGGCAGCATGCAATTGTGGTTAGCGTACACACTTGGATCCTAAATGTAGCATGGGAAATTTTCAGCAATCGGTTGACATCCTCAAGGCGATTCAAAGGATAATTGCTTCTAAATTTTCTACAACCAGTTAACAAGTCCCATGCATGCAAAAAATAAGCCTAAGTGGAGAGTATTTTGCAAGTTTGCTATACAATTACACAATCCAGATTTAACTGAAGTTGCCACTGGAAAAGAAATCCTGTTATTCCAGCCGTGGTTAGGGACAGTGTTGGCCTCATTACTTTTTAAAAAAAGACAAACAAACTGTGATTATGACCTGAAAGCAGTAAGACTTTACAACATTTTTGCAATAATTTTTCACTTTGTTTCTCAGTTAGAATTTATAGTTTTACATAGACAGTAAAAGTAATAACTTGTAATGTACAAATGGGGTTGTTCTTAGTGGCAAACTTAGAGTTCTATTCACCTCATTGGAGCCTTTTTAAGTATTTTTCAGCTCATTTTCTTTTGTTGTCATCATCAATTCAAAGGCTAAAAACACACTTTTTTAATTAGTTGTTGTACCCGACTTTAAAAGTTAGAAAATTAAAGCACCACAGCTACAACATGTTTATATCAATGCTTTTATTGAAAAAAAGACATTGGCATTGGGGCTTGACACACCCTGGGGCCAGGAGCCAAAATTTGGTTTCCTGAAGCTGTTCCTCCTTTATCCATCTCTCACTGTCATGTGCTGACGCCATGTCAGCACACGACTTGTCACACACAAGAAGAGCTATTCTTCGGCGACGGTGCAGACAGTATAATCATACATTCTGTCCTTCTAATTGAGCAGAATGGCCAACAAATTTCTGAGAAATAAAATCTTTAACAGTTGCACCTGAGTCTGGATCCTTGTTTACCACACAGCTGTCCCTGCTCTTCTTGCGTTTGGCACTCTCTCTGGTTTGTCAGACTCTCGATCTTGAAAGAAAGGAAATTCCTGCAAAGAGGCAAACGTCACTCTTTATTGACATTCCTCTTATCAGGCATGACTTATCTACCACTGATCAATGGAGGGGCATTATTTGCACTCTGACAGATGTTGCTCAGGAAATTTTAAGGTCACTCAGATTGAATATCTGGAGCAGATGCAACCAAAATAATCACAATTTTTAAGTCTTCAACTCTATTTATTTTATGTCTTGCAGGTGTTTTCAGAGCATTTCCTGCTCCGGCACCCAACAACAGACAAAAAGTCAATGACTGCATTGCGAACAATGTGGAGCATTTAGCCCAGTGGTTCTCAAGTCCAGTCCTCGAGACCCCCCCTTCCTGCATGTTTTGGTTTCCCTGCTCCAACACACCTGATTCAAATGATCAGCTCGTTATCAAGCCAGAGCTTGATAACGAGCTGATCATTTGAATCAGGTGTGTTGATGTCTGGACTTGAGAACCACTGATTTAGCCATTAAAGACCAAGTGTCCACTTTAAGTTGATAGAGACCAAAATAACAGAGGTTAAAGCGAAAAAAAGGAAAATTTCTATTATTTATATTCTGAGTGACGGACAAGTGATTGCTTCCCTGTTTAGTGGCCTATACTTATTTTTAGTTCAATAACTTGACCATGTAAAAGCCATGTTTCTGCATGAAACTGATCAGCCTCGGTGTATCAGAGCAATCTCCCTGTTCCCAGTATACAATTACCCTCAGTGTTTGCAATGGTCTGTAATGGGAATCAGTCCAGTAGCTTCCTGCATCACCACAATAACTGAATTAAAGCATCAGATCATATCATTTAACAATGCACATACACACAGACAGACATGCACTCCTTGCCATTCTAAGTCGTTATTTGAATTCTGGTCACAGTTTGGATTTTACCATCTTGATATAGGAACCTTCTCCTGCTGACGCTGGGCTTCATTTTCCAACATCACTGTGTCCAATCTGTAATTTGAAACTTGTGACAGTCTTAAGTCAGCATGTCCTTCCCCTGCTGACGGAGGAGTAAGCAACATCAAAAAAAAGATCAAACCTCCCTGAAATTAGGTTGGATATCACTTAGTATTTTTTTCCCCTGGTGTCCCAAAAGTGCACATCGATTTTTCTTCTGATAGTAAAATCTGGTTAGCTGAACTCCAATAACTAAGTTTGGTTCTTTCTCAGATGACTAGTGCTTAGCCAAAAACTTGACCACATATCTGGAACCTGAGTCCTTTGCTAGCTCTTCTATTATTTAACAGGTTATAGTTTTCACAAAATGATGTTGAATGAAATACTGGGTGTCTATGCTAACAGCAAAATTAACACTAATTCCTTACAGATGCAGCAAATAGCTTTACAACAAAAGTCTAGTTCTGCTAAAGGGGTCTGTATGTTAACAGGAAAGATTTAGCATAACTAAAGGAAAGTGTGGTAACACTTTATTTGACACTATATCCCTATAACGCATTATAAATATCTGTATAATGCATTACAATCACATTATAGCACTGTATAACTATAGTTATAAACACTCATAAATGATCATAATGCTTTATAGCAATAATCATAACACATTATAAAGCATTTTATCATGACTTACAAGGTCAGGTATTATAATGTGTTATAACTGTTAACAACTCACTGACAATGCCCACATAGATAATGCAATGCAACTGTTGTTAACAGTTGTAACACATTATAATACCTGACCTTGTAAGTCATGATAAAATGCTTTATAATGTGTTTTGATTATTGCTATAAAGCATTATGATCATTTATGAGTGTTTATAACTATAGATATATACACTACTATAACATGATTATAAGACATTATACATATATTAATAATGCGTTATAGAGATAGGCATCAAATAAAGTGTTACTGAAATGGTCTAACAGGTGTTTTTCTCCAATAGTAGCGAAGAGTGCAGCTTAGACCTGCTCATTTTTTGAAGAGATCGGGGATAACTCTTGATACGAATTTTAAAGCATCATTTTTCTTGCTTTTATTTGCACGTGCAAAGGAGCAACTAGTAGTAGCTAAACTTGGAATTACGATCTCCACTCTCTGTTTATTATTTCTAGATAAATAAGAACCCAATAAATGTGACAAAATATATCAGCTTATCAATCAATTTTGGTGACACAAGCAAGCTTGAATTAACCCCAACAACTTCAGTTATGTCATTGAACTGGTTGTTGAAGAGGTTGCACTTGGGAGCCAAGAATCTGTGCCAAGCAGATGGTGTCAGCGCCAGCCTCAGCCACCTTTTGTACTTTGGCATTTGGCAGCAAGTTTACTCCAAACAAGCTGTCCTCTTTTCACGCAGATTTGTGAGTATTTTCAAACTGATTCTGTCAAAATGGTTTTGACTTGTTTTCCAAAGGGAAGCTTAGCTCATTGGCCGTGCATAATGGGATTTCGCTGAGGAAGAGTGACGAGGAGGAGTGTGTTTTGGGGGGGTTTAATAAAAAGCTCACAATTTGCAGAATGAGATGTTGTTTTCTGTTGGAAGGAAATGCATGCGCGCGTCAACACACACACACACACACACAAAACATCATCCTCATTCTCTGTATTTCTCAGCTCACATGCAGACACTGTGATAGTGTTTTTTGCTGACAAGCAAAGTAGTCCTCACTGCTTGTGCATTTCTGTGTGTTGCATCATGTATGGCTTGTTGACAACAGAGTGCATCTGTTCAGGCCTAATGTGTTCAGTGTGATTCGGATGACACACTGTCAGATGAACTTAAAGTTGTCAGCCCCTCACCCCTGGCTCACTGCTCAGCTGAAGTTGTTTCATTTTTTTAACACTCACTTTTCAGAAGCTCACTATTGATCAAAAGGATTTCCATGGTAATATTATGCTGGATACATAATTATGCCTAGTCTTTTTTGTTGTTATCCATCTGTTTCACCCTTTTGTGGTTAAATCAGAGGAGATTATACATTGAAAAAGACAGAGAGAGACCATGTGAAGAAAAGAACAAGGGGGCATTGTTCATGGACAAGTTCATGTCTGGAAATCTTTACCAACTTCCACAGAGGAACAGGGGAATGTAAATGACATTTTGTCAGAATGAAAGTCAAATGCAGATTCATAATCTGGGGTTAACCAGAATGTGACATTTTCATTTAGTCTCATTTTAGCGGTTGAGGAAAGGTCGAAAAGTTGAGAATTTGAGCGGATGTTGAATGGGAAACAAGTTTTTTATAATAAATTGTCATCTCTATCTCGGTGGAAGTTTAACAATGAAAATAGTTGCCATGTAAAACCTGTGACAGCAGAGATACAGATCATTTGGTCTTCCTAACATCTGTCTGAGATTTTGTGTTAGTCAATTAGGACCACTTTCATAAAGATGAGGTGGAATTGGCAACAATATAAGAGTTACCACTTTGTCCACGGGGGGCATAATGCATCTTTTTTGTATCTAGCTGACCTATTGGTAGATTAATCCTTCTACTCACAGTTACTTTGAAAGTTTAATGTGACAGTTGTGTTTTAAAGCAGAGACTTCTACAATTCAATTCTCTTTAAATGCCTCAAACATGGAAGCTTTCACAAATCTTGCCCTTTCATCTGCAGCATCCAGGCTCAGATGCCCTTTGATTCATAAAACTGCAACACTGGATGGGATTTTCATTTTGCTATGTATTGTTTACATGTTGCCTCCCTGTTGGTGTTTTGCATGCCCAACTTTCTGTAAAGATATTAAGGATACAAGATTCCTCAATCCACAGCATGTCAGCTCCAGTAAATGTTGAGTCTGCCCACAGCATGAAAAAAACATGCCATGACTAACTCATATTGAATTTGACTGCAGCATTGCCTATTATTGACAACAATGTCAACTCATTGTTGCACCTGTGGATGAGATCCACTGTTTTCAAAGTTCACACCAGCTGATTGACTTGTCAGCCTTGGATTTGAGGTCAAAGGGGTACTACCTGGGGGCCTGACTTGGGCCTGTCCTGTCCTGCATAGAGATGGGTCTGTGCGGAAGCAGAGTGTCTCTCATTATCCCATCAATCATTTTAAATAAGACCATTTACTTTCAGGGAGACCAGACCTCAAATAACCTGCAGCATCTGTGTTTTGTTTCTCCTCCAGCTGTTTCTTGCTTTGTTTTCTGTAGAATGACATTATATATTTTGTTTCCAAGGCAAAAGTCTGTACCTAGTAAGATATTAAGCTATTAAACTAACACCTAAGAATTTCCTTGTTCTTTTTATCATAGTGGGCTTTTTTTTTTTTTAATTATCAACATCAGTCTCTTTGCATTTGCCACAAAGGAGGTTAAAACAGATCCCACTTGCAATATGCTCTGTACTATCCCTCTGTCTACCCTCTGTCTCTCTGGGTGGCTTTGTCTGGAGGCCTTTGAGTCTCTCTTTACCCTCTAATTTTCCTGGGTCACTCAGAGCACTCCCCTGCCCTCTCCCACACAAATTGGCATCACATCAATTTATTATCAAGTTATAGGACAGAGGACAAATGCAGGGAACAGTGGCACATTTGTGTGTCTTCAGTAGAATACAGTTATATCTGCAGTTGTGTTAGCAGAGCTTCAGCCCGGATCACAAAAAAAGCTGTTAAAGTCAAACTACAGGGGAGTAAAAGCAGTTTCTCTTCTGGGGAGAAAAATACCCAGAATACTCCAGTAAACAAGTGAGAAGAATTATGAAAAAATTATAGGTACTATTTTTAAACTCAGTAGCAGCTCAGTTTGCCTCTTTTTTCCGATTTTACTCAGAACTGCATTCAATCACCACAGCACGGGGTTACAGCTTGAATGAGAATGAGAGCAGCAAATGAGAAACCAGGTCCAGGTTAACAAGACTTCTAGTGATATTCAAAATAGCTGTCTTAATTATTAGTATTGCTTAAACAGTGTGCAAAACAAGGAATCATACGAACCAGCGCTTGGTTAAATGTTTTATGTTTCACATTTCCATCCACCACAAATGAATTAATAAACAGCAGTGATATTTTACATATCAGCCTCACACCCACATACATGAGGGGATTGGGGGTTTTTCAGCTGAAATATTCATTTTTAGTCCAAGTTGGAATTTTTGCACATTTCTAAGCTGCAATTTTCTGTTCTAAAACTCAAGCTTTAGTCGAGCTATTTGCAGATAATTGATGTCTTGAGAATTTTTTTAAAAGTGGTGTCACCCTCTTATAATCCTTACTTTGCCCTCCCTGTCATTCCTAACCATTTTATTTGAACCCACTCACTTCCTAGTTTGCTCTCTCTTTACCTCACTCCCTGGGCGAAGCGATCCAGAGGAGCTCAAAATCATGGATGATCCAAAGGGAGTGATGGTTACTGTACTCTGTGATTTATATCCTCCTCCTTCCCTGTACCGTTTCCTTCTCCTCCTATTTCCCCAGCCCCTCAGCCCTCCCTCGGTCTCTCCTTCTCCACCACTCCAGCTGTCTCTGAGTTCCCTTTTAATCGCACATTTTGTATGTTCTGTCTTCATGCGCCCTCTACTACTGTTACCTCCCATCAGATAAATACAATGACAAAGATGCCTTATCACCCAGTTTATGTTTCACTCTCATAAGGCCACCTAAACAGATGGTGCAGTACCAGATATCATCACAACAAGGTAGATGAGAAATACCTCTGGATATGTGCATGAAGAGTGGAGTAAGAATGTCTGGCCCTTCCTCTGGTTAATACTACACCGGTCAATGTAGTGGAGCTCATAACTCAGGTCCAGCACAGCAGCCATAGAATACAAAGCAGGGGAGCAGCAACCAGCTGAATAATGACACCTATGAGTGTGTGTGTGTGTGTGAGTGTGTAGTTGTGCTTGTGTGTCAGGGCGATTGGGGGTTTATTGCTGGTCACATTTTAACCCTCTCTTCCTGTTCTCTGGCAGTTTCATTACCTCTGTATGCGATGGAAAGAGCAACTAGGAGTGAAAGACATGCGGGCAGTCGCAGTGGTCAGCAGACAAACCCACCACCATACACCACCTCTACATAGGTAGACAGCAAAAAAGGGGGGTCTAAAAACAAGATAAAAACACTAAATCTGAGGGGAAAGGTAATAAGAACAAGTTAAATTATCTGTCCATGCAGCAAGATAATTTCACTTGATAAGATTTCTTGAATTAAGATTGCTAAATCTAGAAATAAGCATGTCTACAAATGTACTTTGAAGGCTTAAAGTAAGCTAACAATGCTGGTTTTAAGAGTAGATTACTTAAAATTTAACTTTTAAAGCCCTAAAAATAAGTGAAATATACTTAATATAAGCATAAAATAAGTATAAAATGTTGGTTTTAAGATCAGATTACTTGAAATTTAACTTTTACAGCCCTAATATAAGTGAAATAGACTAAATATAAGTGTAAAGTAAGGAGAAAATGCTGGTTTTAAGATCTGATTATTTGAAATTTAACTTTTACAGCCCTAATGTAAGTGAAATGGACTAAATATAAGTATAAGCTCAGGAGAAATGCTGGTTTTAAGATGAGATAACTTAAAAAGTGTCTCTTTTACAGCCTCAAAATAAGTGAAATATACTAAATATAAGCAACTACATATTTTGTTTTCTTACTTTGAGCTTAGAGATTAGTTCAACAAAAAAAAGAAATTTAGAGAAAAATACCCAGTATTTGTAAAGAATGACCAAACTCTGTCTCAATGCAAGCAGGCTTATCTTGAAACAAGGCTTACTTCATCTTAAAACAAGAAGGGAGACTTTGGGAGAAAGATGGAATTTAACTTATTTTAACAGTTATTTTCTTTATTTTAAGATTAAAGATTTACAGTTAAACACTTAAAATAAGAAATTAAGTTTTAAAACAAGAGAAATTATCTAACACTCCTAAATCTAAGTTTCTTTGTCTTGGTAAGAACAAAATAATTTGCAGTGTACCAACATTACCAATGATTCTTTATAACTTGCAAAATCCTCTTTAGATAGAGAGTCCAGTGGGGACATATATTGTTTCTGCACCATGAGCATTTGCTGTAAACACGCCTTATAAATCTTAATCTATCACATTTGATTAGAAAATATATTGATACAGATATCAAATAATGTAATCATACATTGCATATTTTCATCATGTTGAGGAGAACTACTATAGATATTGTATGTCTTATCAATATCAACTCTTTCGTACCCCAGAACATCACTGAGAACCTGGGCTCTATTGTGAAAAGAAAAGCAAATGCAGACGTGTGCTAAGCCTGCATTCCTTTAAATAACCAGCAGGGGGCAATTTCACCAGCTGCTAAAACGCTTCATATTCTGGTTGAATGAGAAAGATTTTAAAAAACTATCTTATTCCTCTTTCTTGTTTTTATTTTATGGGTTTTTTGCCTTTATTTTAAAAGGACAGCTTGAGAGGGACAGAAAATGTGGAGAGAGAAAGGAGGGTGATATGCAAATCATGCAGAGACTGGGAATCAATCCTACAACCAGTGTGATGACAACTACAGCCTCGGTAGATAGAGAGCCTGCCATATGAACAGAGCCAGACTGAACCCCCATGACATCGCTTTAACCATTTTTTATTCTCAGTAAAAATGTGCCGATTGAGTTTATGGTCATATGGTTTTAGTCTTCTCTGATTCAGCATGATGCTTAGTTTTTCTATACAAAGTGACTGTAGCCCTCTACATTTTAGTAGTGAAGCAGATATGGACATCTAAATAAAAAAGGAAATAATACCAGGCACGTGACAGTCAAAAGGTAAAACTCTTGGCTTCAAATTGATATTCCTCAAATTCATTTCTTACTTACACTCATGGTCAATGCACATTAGAGTATTAAAGGTGGGGTTGGTAGGATCCAAGGAAGTACCAGTTTTTGGGAAAAATCTTGAATGTAAACTCTACCCCTCCCAACCAGTTTTCCCCTCAGCTCCTCCTCTCCCCTCCCTCTCTGCTCCCACAAACAGATGCTCGTCTTTGCTCGTATACTTCAGATAATTACAAATGGAACCCAGTCAATGTGAAAGTAAAAAGCATTGGTGCTACTGTAGATGCCAACAGACTACCAGCAAAAACAATGTTTGCAGGACTTCTACAACTAGGATTAAGTGACATAGTCCAGGACCAGAGGTAAACAGTTTAGCGGTGCTACAACACGCAGCAGGTCCCGCTTGACAAGAAACACTTCTGTCACAGACACTTGGCTTACTTTGTTAAAGCGGTTTACCTGTCCAGCAGAAAGGATACAGGGTCCGTAGGATCCCGAAGCGTCCCCTAACATTTTATGTTGACCCGGCTTTTTAGCTCTTGTCCGGTCTACCTCCTTTTTAAGCGCCCGTTATTCTGCCAGTGTCTCCGGTATTTACTTTGGTCTCTTATTAGTGTCGGCAGTCGTGGCCAAAGGAGGATTCAGACAATTTTCTGTACTTTCTGGTTGGTTTCTACTGTCCGATATTGTAGCATGCTAAGGGGAGGCGGAGAATGGCTTTGTTTACAGTCGAAAAGAGCGGGCCGCTCAAAAATTTTAAAATGTTGACTACACAGACATAAGAGAAGATAGCGATATCATGATATTCCTAAATGTCATCAATAACTAAAAGCTATTGAGTGATATTAAAAGCTTTTTTTTGTATATACACCACAAAAAAAGATGCTTCTGTAACAGATTCCTGCCTACCCCACCTTTAAACTGAGTATTACTCCACAGCTGAAAATAACCCCCACAATTAAACTCTGTTCTCCTGTTTGAGTGACATTTGATAAAAACTACAGCACCCAGATGGTTTTTGGAAACTTAACTGTAGTTCATTGAAAAATGAGATTAAAGCATTACAACATCTTTCTCGATATGATCTTGGCTCTTCTTGTCACAGACAGGGCAGTGGAAAACTGGTGAGAGATGACCTCATCCTTTTATTATTACATTTATCTGACATCATTGTGCTCATGTCACTGACTTCCCATGGATCATTTTTTTATGTAATATGAGATAATATAATAATTATATAACAAAACTAAACAGGGAATGAGGAAATCTTAGCCTCTGTCTGGAACAAGTGCCTGTTGTCCTCATGTCCTCCACAGCTGTGCCAGATCTGCAGGTGTGTCTGAGAACCTTCTGGGAATCCCTGCTCCTTCTTTATCTATGTTTTCATTTCTACACCCACCTCGCCTTCATGGCTATGTTTATGTCTCCCTTGTTATATTTCTTATGAACAAAGCATGCATGCTCTGAACCAAACATCCTCATTATGCAGATACACTGTGGTCGTTTTCAAACCCAGCTGGGCGTAAAGTGAAAACCCTGTTACTTCTCATGGCTCGGTGGTTTGAATGCTCACTTTGTACTGCTACTAAGGTTAAAACAAAGGCAGAGCAGCTTCTTCTTTCACTCTGCTTCTTTGTGCAACAAGTGAGAGGGTGAGCCCAGGACATGAGATGACATAATACTCACGGTGTGGTCATGGTATTTTGTTTTCCAGTAAGTGTGTGCGTCTGTTAATGTCAGAGTTAGGGTTCGGTCAGCCTACTGGGAGTCATATTTTACGTTTAGTTGGCTGTATGTGTCTACAGTCAAAGTCATGATTGGATGACCTGTTGTTTTTGCGGTCTCATCAGTCAGAGTTGGTACAGCACTCTCTGGTGGAGTGAGTAGAATTTATGAATGTTTAAAAAAAAAAGGGGGAGCTTATCTGTGCGATCTGTCCTCAGTGGGATGAGGTTGGTGTCTGTTCTAGTAAAAGTGATCTATAACTTTGAATTTACGAGGTCTGCTTGTGCGAATGACTCAGCAGTATGAGGCAGTATATTAACTCTCACCGCCGAGAAGGTGTGGTGGCTCGCGTTGTCCTCAAGAGCCGCTGGCCACAACTAAGTCTGATTCGGCTCGGTATAAAGGGATGTTACACCAATTTCACTTTGGTTTACTCACCATGAAAAGCTCGTACCTGTCCAAACTCTCCTCTGTGGGACAGTGGATTGGCCGAACAGTTAAGCCCCTGGTGTATAAATAACCTTTGAAGCAAATGGCTGAGGTTGGATTCCAACCTGTTGTCTCTCCTCTGTCCTCCAGTGACCTTCTCTATAAACTGATCAGTCATCTCAGTAAGCCCCAAAACAAACTTAACAAGATCAGAAAATACTCTTTTGTGTCTTTTGAGGAGGTTTATGAAGTTTACTTTAAAGTCATTGTCATATATCTTATGGTCTGAAATGCTCCCCTTCTCACCCTTCCTATCAGTGAAACAACGGTGGCCTCCAAGGACAAAAAGCTCATATGGTGCATAACAACTACAAGCATAGTATTGTTTTTGTCCTGAATACAAGCCAGTAATGCACTAAAACTGACCAATAGCCCTTCAATAGCTGTTCTCAAATGCATTATAAAAAATTTGTATCATTTTGATTATCTAAGAGACTATAATTGAACACTCTGCTGTTGAAATGAGTAATAAGAAAGTGATCAAGCTGTTCATTAACTTTTATTTGGCAAAGCTGAAGAGAGACTTGAAATGTGGGGTAAGGATAATGGGGAAAGACGTGCATCAAAGGATGAAGGCAAATTAAAGACTAATGCAGAGGGTAATGAAAGGTCTTAGCTTCTTACACACAAACTGAACTAAGCTAATGAGTGCTTTTTCTTTCTTTTTCTCTCTTTTATTTTATGATTTCTTTTCAGGGATGTTTGCTAGATCTCTTTAGTCTGGCTTGTATGATCTATTCTCCTTATCAATGATTAAATAATGTGTTTTTTCTGTCTTTTAAAATGCTATTTTCTCTCTTTGCAGTTTATTCATTTTCTTTCAGCTGACGCTCTCAGATTTAAACAGAAAAGTGATTCCAGCGAAACCTGGCTGTAATCCACACGACGAGGTGTAGATCAGTTAAAAAAAAAAAAGGAAGGACGTGTCAAATCATTATCGTTAAAATGAATGGACTTCTTTGGCCTTTGACTTTTTAACAAGCCTGATTTTTTCTTGGCTGCCTGGACTGGGATTGTTCTCTGACAGGCAAACAGCTGATTTATGATATTTTGATACACAGGAAAGCTATAAAACATCTAAAAATCCCTTTAAAGGCTGCAACACTCTGTTGAATATTGTTTTAAGAGTGTTATTTTGCGATCAGCTGCTCTGTAGTTGCAGTTTCTCCACAATCCCTTTATAGTCAAAAGGAGAAAGTTTCGTGAATCCGCATTAGCATGAAGTTAGCATACGCTACTTTGTTTGTATTGTCATGCATTGTGTTCTGCGCTCGTGCGGTGGAATTGTGTGTTGTGTGGACTGAATCAAAGGCATTTGAAGCCCCTCTCTCCCCTCTGGCCTCTCCCCAAAGACCAGATGGTGTCTCTTTAGGTTGTCTAATGAATATTGATATGAGGGGTCCTGGTTAACAACAGGGGGCTGCACAGGCTGGACCAGAGAGCCTAAAATTGGTTTTTGGTGAAGGTCTGTGTTTGAGGGGCTGAGCAGCATAGTAGAAGAAAAGAAGGGTTTGGGACTTGTAGGACCAAACGACTGCAGAATGAAGTGTTACAGAACATAAATCCCATATCTGTCAACTGCTTTGCACAAACAAATCCAGATTTGTGTGTCATTGAGTGATAAAATACAGTAGGAGAATGAAGTTTTTGTTGTTTGGTGGCATGTAAACTTAAAGAGGATGGTGTCAGATGTCAATATTTAAAGTCTGAAATTAGATTAGGAGGCTAACGCAGGATAAACGAGAGTCAGGTGCGAGGAAGAGTAAAGTAAAGACAGGTTAAGCTACTGGTGGAATTAATCCTCTGGCATGGTTCCCATGGTCAAAGCTGCTCTCCTCAGCTCATTCCAGGTCCCGTGCCACCTCAGGCTGAACCCTCGCCAGCACCTGACCCTGGGCATCAGGTTAGAAAATTTCTAACTGAAGGAGCTTAATAACCCCACCAGTTTCTGAAGCTTTAGAAGTTATGAGTTTGTTTGAAGGGAGGGTGGGTGTGTGGATGAAGTTAATTGTGTTACCCTCTAGCATGTCCCTCCAGCTGGTCTGGGTGTATGCACCAGCTGTACCCCCCGCTGTGCCACTTTACTGGGAATAAACATCCATTCAGAGGACCAAAGTGCTGCATCTCTAGCAGGGAAATAATCCTGATCACAGCACTGGGTGTTTGTTTAGCAGGGAGTCAGCCTTTTCAGCGTTCTCTCTTTTTTTTTCTTCTCATAGCCGTGTCATATTTCATACTCTCTGCAGTTTGTCAGGAAACATTAGTAGGCACGCAGCAACTCATCCGCATACAGAGCTCTGATCATGAACCTAGGCTGTGTCAGCTATAAATAACCCAAACAAGACCTCGGTGGCTATAAGGCACCGGGGCAGACAGGAAGGGAAAGGCGGTGAAACTGAAAGATGAGAGACAGAAGGGAGGACCATGACGAAGAGGAGGGCAAGACGTTTTAGTACATCATCATAGTTATTCAGTTTGTTAGGTTGAGGACACAACCTTAACTGTCAATCGTAGTCCCTGTGGTCCTTAGTTAATGAGACAAAGCGCCAGACTGATACATGATGCTGAAGGCTTTCATCAGGGAGGGGACAATGACAACAAGAATTATCTAACCCTAAAGTCAACTAAAAATGATTTTGCTGCTCTATCTTTTATTATAGCTACGTGTAATTGGAACTTCTGATATAAACAAAAAAAGAAGAAGAAGAAGGAGAGGAAGAAATGCCACTATTTTGCACACTGACCCACTGAAACAGTTTCATGACCAAAACTTCAGAGTTAATTTTATTTAAGGTGAAGTTTAGTCATTTTATTTTTAAAAATGAACATGACTGTTTACTCAACCAAAAACACGAGTATTTGTTTGACAACTGGATAGAGCAAAGAGAGAATGACAGAGACAATCAAACAGAGAGACAGATGAGGACAGGGACAAAGGAAAGGAACATTCAGATTTATTTCAGCAATGAAGTATGGATGTACAGTAATTCATAATCACCATCACTGCTTTTTAAACCTAAATTAATAATAACATTTTTCCAATTTAAATGCAATCCGCATGCATCACATGGAGCCTCATTTACTCAAATTGGCCTTAAAACCACTAAATACTGTGATGTGAAGACATGATACAAAAACCTTTGATTGTAAGCTTGCTGTACTTTTCTGTGATTTATCAATGACATATAGAGACACTGCAGCAAACTCAATTTTGTTGTACCAGGGAAAACACACAATGTAGTCACCTTCAGGTGGATAGTTGTGTGTGATGAGTTAGATCCAGAGGGTGGCTTTGGAGGCCTGGGCCTCACTTTGAATCTAATAAGCAACCCCAGGTGCCACCTCAATAACTATAAAAAGTCCCCATATTCGTCATTCCAACTCAGCCTAATTTTGAGTCCACCTCCCAGAGACGGGCCTCAAGCAAATAGCTACAGTGAGTGAACCTGCCTACGAGTGAAGTTTCTGAAATGCCGAATTATTATTTTTATATCTCCAAAACAAATGTGTTACAAAAATCCATTCCCTTTTTCGAATCAGACTTTGAATGTTTATATTTTTGCTATAAAACTGGCTTTATTGGCTCGGTGTGTACATGGTTCCCATGCTTCTGTAGCCAGCCTCTGAGAACTGCAGTTTTCCTGTCAGGACCAGAGGTTTGAGCTTGGTCCAAACTCAGTTTAAACCCATTTACCCCCAAAGAAAGTGTTCTCTACCCTGTGGGTTAAAGACACAAGACTTAAGAGATAGGAAACGTTCCCGGTATGCTAAACTACGCTTATATATTTAGGATTATGCCTGTCATGTCTTACTTTGATAGATCAATTTACAGCCGTGAAAAATATATATAAGTACAGAAATTCTGTCACTAGTGTGTGTGCATTCACACAATCACACGTGTCTGTCTGTCTGTATTGACTGAAGTGGGCGTCTGAGCCCCCTGCAAGCATAACTTGACAGCCATCCTGCGTATGTGTGTGTGTGTGTGTGTGTGTGTGTGTGTGTGTGTGTGTGGGGGGGGGGGGGTTGACAAAAGAGGCAGAATTGCAATTGAGAGCCTGCGTAAGCTACAGAGCAAAAAAAGAGTAAGAGAAAGAGCGGATGGGGGAGGGAGGAAGGTATCAGACTCAGGGATAAGGCAGCTGGGACATGCTGCCTGGCTGAGAGCAGATCTCATTGTGCACTTGTCCTTCCTAAGTCACTCAGACGCTCTGCAGAGAGAGGAGAGAGCCTCTCACTCTGACACCAGGCCATCTCTGGGTACTCACAGATGGGCTGTCAAGGCTTTAAGGGGAACTGGATCTTTTCCGTCAATCATACTGAGTTGTTAACAAAAAAGGACTTGTTGGACTCTGTTTGGCTTTACCTCTTTTTTTCTGGATTTTTTAAATCTGCTATGGCACTCGCATAGGCATGGTGGTCTACTTTAGGAAGAGCATCCACTCTCTGCTGTCTGTCTTCAAAAAGAAGGGTGAGTGCTGAGTCACATCCAGGCTGTAGTTTTGACTTTAAGCTGCTGACAGAAGTGATTTATGATGTACAGCACAGTAATACTCTAACTTACAATAATTAAGATGACATATTCCTATGCATCATATACCCTAAAAAGCTTGAGGAGCAGTGCTGAGGGTGCAAGGGAATGGATCTGTGAAAGGTGTGATGATATTTGTAGATTTATGTTGCTATCATTTCGCTCCATCTCTCACATACAAACAGTCGCACTGGCATGCAAGAGTTAGCATTAAGACAATATGGGGGTCCTCTCTAATGAGATAAAAAGCTTAACTGACTTTTTCAGTGATCAACTAAATTGACCAAATGCACTAAACCTCCTGCAGGGGTCTGGCGGCATTAAGAGCTGCTTTTACAATTAATCGCAACTGGTAATTACAGCACAACACAGTAAAAGTGGAAATAACCACTTTTCTGTGGCTGTTTTTGTGAAGAAGTCAGTTTTTATTCCTGAGATTGAATCAGTCACTCCTAGAGATTTCCCACAGCTGCACACAGGGGAGGGTATTGTGTCTGGACTGCCTCACCTGTGTGAAGGCGGAGAGAAAAGGGGAGGAGTGTATGTTCTGCCACACAAAAACACACAAACATGTACAGTGTGTACATCCAGAGGCACACAGTGTTACCTAACCAGGTGAGACTGAGACCTGCAGTGTGGGAAATGACAAAAGAGGGAAAGTGAACACCTGGTATTCAACTTCAATTCTGATATAAAAGACAATAGGGCTTATGTAACCTACATAAACAGCAAGAAAACAGGCTTGACTCTTATCACACAATGAGAAAATAAAACCTCCAAGAATCACAAAACTGTTCTTATTAAACTTTCACAAATATCCTTTGTCTTTCTTTCTTTCAAATTTATTTTTATTGAGTTTTCCTTGAATGTATTTCAACAGCTAATGACAGGGCACAAGGGTTCACTTCAACACCTAAAAGAAAAAATAATAATGATATTAATAATAAATAAATACATAAATAAATAGATTTGATGAATTAATCTGTAAATATGAAAGTAAAAACAATGCCAAGATCATAGAGATATCAGATCATACCAAAACAATGCAAATTATATGGAATAAAATTACCATATAAAGAGAATAGAAGGTGGGAAAAAATGAAAATAAAGTAAAACAAACATAAAATTCTTATTTGTCGACTTATCTTTCCAACATTTGTATTCAGAATCGCGTATCTTTTCATGCCTCCATTCAAAATCATCACTTAACCAAACCTAGCTGGATGGATGCACCGTTGACCCTGCATGCAGAGGAGCTTAAAGCATTTTGTAATGACTCCAGATCAACAGGTGATCTGTTTTATATCCAAACCTCAATTTCCTGCTCAGTCTTTGTCCTTCGAAAATGAGTGAAGCCATCAAAGAGAGAGCTGTGTCCAGATCTCACACGGGAACCCCTTTAGAGGGTCAAGTGGCATCTTTAAATGTAGGCAATCCAGATAATCTAATCCGTCATGAACTAAGCAGGTCGAGAGATACTGCAGGAGATTAACCGGGCAATTTACTGGTCTAATTTACTGTTGAGAGCCTGGTCAGACTGGGACGTCTGCTCGGCTGAGGAGATTTGAAGAGGGTGCTGCGTCACAGCAGGTGGAGGTGCAGAGGATTCACTGTAAAGCTGATAAATGATTTGACCAGTGAACACCTGTTGAGTCTGTTTACCTTTGCGTTAATGTTTTTAACCTTCCTAGAAAGTACCTGTGGATACACTATGCAAATTGAGTTTACGCTACTTGGAAAATCAGATGTGTTTTGGAATAAAGCTTGCTCTTTCTGGCCCAAGGGAAGAGTCATGAAATATTTACTAGAGATGAGGGGGGATGAGTTATTAGCAACCATTAACATGACATTCAAGTTTTTGGTACCTATCACAGCCTGTTCACTCTGAAATCTCAGTATCTTAGTCCACCATGTTGTTAAAGTATTCTGGGGCAACTTATTTCCATATTGTTTCAACTGAAATTTAAATTCCACTAACGAATTGTAAAGTCTAAAGGTTAAAAAAAAAAACTCTGGAAAGGGTCAAAATTGAGCGTCTTTGATCTTTAATGGCTAAACACCAGGATCAGAGTCTGCAGGTGAACAATGTCATATTGGTGGCTGATGTTAGCCCAGCCTTCAGTCTTCCTTGCAGGTTAACATTCACATGCCTGGGCTGGTTATTTATGTTTGTAGGCAACCAAAACAAGCATATCTCTATATGTCTTTAAACCAATGTACTTCCAAACCCAATAATTCTCTGAGCTGTCATCTGTGCCTGTTCATATATAGGTTTGGAGCATCGGAACATGAATTAGAGCTAAAATCAAGGACATGAAAATATGAATTTTTAATTTAACCAATTAGTAATTCTGCTGACAACGAGCAAGGGTGACAGTGTTTTATCATTTAGGTGACTGAAGATGCACATCCATATTCTGGAGCTAAACTGTTGAAAAGGCGTTTTCATTAATGCCAAATTAATTGCTCCTGTTTTCTCTATCCTTCTCCACAATTTAACAGCTGGCCCGAAGACTAATGAGGACCAAAAGAGGTTGACCGTCCACTACACGACCTCTCAGCACTACCAGGAGAATGTTTTCATCGAGGGCAGCAGGCCACAGTTCCTGGAGGACCTGCACACAGAGGCCCAGGAAGGCCTCAAGATACTACAGCAGGAAGGTAAGACAAATATGACAGCTGGTTAGTCAAAAGCTTTAAGGATGTAGACCCATCTAAAACAAAATGAGGTTCAGCTATAACATCAAATTTAAAGCCCCTGGTTTTGAAACAGATGAAACTTAGTGACTATGTGTATGCCTATATAGAAATTTAAAGCATGCTAAAGAAACTTCCTCTTTTAAGTCCTTTTCCACAGCAGATACTCCAAATGAAGTTTACTGTTAAAATTAAGAAGAATCAAATCTTAAATTAGACAATACAACATTTATATATACAAGACGAAATCAGTGAAGTTGCAAGTCTAAGTCCACAGGAGGCACCAAAACACAAACAGAAATCTCCTCAAAGGAGCTTTAAAAATCTCCAGGGTAGGAAATTAAAACTGTTTGTCTGATAAACTCCTCTATAAAAAGCTGAAGCATTCACTTCTGATAGTGTAACTGACAAGCGATAAATAGTTATGAACGGAGGTTAAATTGTTTTTCTGTTCTTTGTCTGTTTGCTTCATTCAGAACACCAAAATGGACTGAACTTCCCTGACAATGAGAGCATTGCTGTAAGTGCCCCAAAATGTTCTGTAGATGTTTCTCCTTCCACATCCTACACACTCAATGTTAACACTGAGGGCAAATAAATACTCGTGTGTCTTTGTGTGTGTGTGTGTATATCTATTGCAGTCCACAGACACTCTGCGACCAGAGCAGGATGTCAGCTCCAAGGACGGAGGTCTCTCTGTGGAGTTAAGATCCACCACAGGAAGCACTGATACCACAATAACCTCTGCTGTGTCGACAAGGCCTGTGCTCACCCGCCAAGGTAAACTCCAGCCCTGACTGTTTGTGCTTATTCAAAGAGAAACATAGAAAGGACGCATCCACACTGCCTTATGTTGGTGGAAATAGAAGCTAATCTTGGTGCAAGCGGTTGGAGCTTCTTGAATTTACTGCGTCACAAAGAGTCATAGACGGGTACTTATTTAGCATGCTTGTCTCAGTCTCAGCTGCTTGGTGTCTCTGCAGTTACGGTTTGAAATCAAAGGAGAAGGAACAACACACATACACACACACGTAGACACACACATTTGAAGCTTTTTTTGGTAACTCAAAGCTTGAATATAACTGAAGACAGAACTGCTCTGCCTCTGCATATCACAGCTGGAAGGTAAAATATGCCTGTGTGTGTGTGAAGAAAGAGAGATTGATATTCCATCCATGTTTCTGGCCTCTGTCTTTTGAAAAAGTCATTTTTCCTGATTTAACTTCACTGGTTAATGGTGCTTGTGTTCAAGCTCCTGGTCTTTATGAAGATTGATAATTGCATCCAAAAAAAGAGTCATTTTTGCAGCTCCAAAAGACTATTTTTCTTTCCTGTCAGGTTCAACGTTTAAGCCTCTGAATCCAGTAAAAAGACTCGATAGAAGCAAGAAAAGGAGCAGGAGAACCACTATCATGGGTATTCCCAACCAGGTCCAGAGAGAACTTGGTATGTCCCCGTCACTTCCCTCACTAATCCTGTAGAAACCTTGTATCAGTGGATGTGAACATGACAGCGATCTGCTCTCCTCCCAGCATTGCACAGAACCTCCACCTTCCAGCAGCTTGTTTCCACTCAACCTCTTGATCAGGATGGTAAGATGAGTCACAGCCAATCAGGTGTCGTTATCGTTCCTACAGTTGATGGAGGGACCCCAGTGGCAAATAAAGAAGGAGCAAGGGTGCATCTTTCAGACCTGGAGGTAAAGGGTTCTTCACAAAGAAATTATCTACATAAATGAGTTCTACTTTGGTCAATTTTTATCACTTTTTCATTGATCCTCTCTCTACTTCAAACAGGCTGCATCCAGAGATGAACAGCTGCTGACAAAGCACCTCCAGGCAATGAATCAAGGAGAGCACCCGTTCAACCACCAGAGTTTTAGCTCTTATCTTGGTCCAACCTCAAATCTGAGACCAAAGTCCCTTGCAGTGCCAGGCATGACCACTTCTTTGACCTTCTCTTCTTCATCAATGCTTAGCTTTCTCCAGGAACCCCTGGTAAGAACAAAATCATTTAGTCAAGGAAAAAGGCTTTCAAGTTCAAAAACTCTTAAGTATGCTGCCTGTTACAGCTCTGTTCAGGTTTCATCCTAAGATTGAGTGCTATACCATAAAAAAAAAAAAGGTTAATTTGTAACTGAAGTTGTTTCACTGTTTGGTCAAGTAGTGGAAAGCACCTTTCTTAACTCTCATGCCTGTAGCATAGCTTACACAAAATAGCTGGTAAAGCCCTCTGCTTCTCCCCATCCAACAAGTATTTTGTGTTTTGAAATGGTGCAGGTGTTATAGCTGGGTGTTATATTTTAAATGCATCATATGTTTGCATAAAAACGATCTCAGCTGGTTCAGCTCTGTAAACTGTCTTATATTAGAAATCATGTTTCCATTAGGCTTTATTTGAAATTCCACACAGCTGGTGCAACCCAGAGCGAATTTCTTATCCTTTAAAATCCCCTTTTTTTCCACCCTAGGGCCCAGTGATGTCAATTTCTCCCCAGGCCACCTACTTGTCTACAATCATCCCAAATGCGGTCTTGCCAGCCTCGATTGAAGTTATAGAGATAGACCGCAGCAGCAGCCGAGCACGTGGGAGCAGTGTAAACCATGGCGGTAGTGTCCGCACTGTGAGCAAAAGCAGCTTGGCATCTGGAGACTCAGCTGTCAGCCCTTTGTTGTCCAGAAGATCAGATGGTGATGATTCCCAGGCGGACAACTTTCAAAAAGACTCCACGAATATGCCAACATCAGCTTCAGGCTCAAACTGGACCGAGTCACAGTCTTCAAAGACCATTATTTCACAGTCCTCCCCTTCATCCTCCAAGAGTAGCACGCATGGTGCTAACTCTCAGAAAGTGGAACTGAATGGGCAGGAAAGTCCGGTAGAGCACGCAAGTGAGGACCATGACCATGTCAGCCTCCGTAGCTCAGTTAGCATGATTAGCAGTAGAAGTGAAAATGTTTTTGCAGGTCAAGGATGCGAATCTGGTTTGTCGGGGTCAGTATCAGCTGGGGATGAAGGAAAGAACAAACAGAATTTTACTCGTAGCCTATCTGTCATGAAGACCAAGCAACCCCCTGCACCTCCAAGGAGAACAAACTCTCTGCATAATAACAGGATCAGAAGCAACCATAGGGCTCTGGTAGATAGTAAGGTTCTCAATGAATCTATGTCTGGAGAGATGGCAAATGATACAGAAAAACCTGCAACAAAAAATGACACAAAGTCAGTTAATGCAGATAGTAGCAGGACCCCCATCCCTGTATCAAACTCCACTGATCCTGTCTCTGTAATTGCTCCAACCAATCCCTTGAGCACCACACAGGTCTCTTCCACTGAGGTAGGAAGAGCAACAGACTCCCAGTCAGAATGCACAAGCTCGTCCCCACAGAAAACTCACTCTGATGGGGGGAAATTTGAACGCACCTTGTCTCCTTCCAGTGGCTACTCGAGTCAAAGTGGCACTCCAACTCTTTCCCCAAAAGGGATCTCCCCAACGTCCCCTGAAAAGCAGAAGACAAAGCCAATCAAACCAGACAGATCAGTGTCTCGGGCCTCGTCCTCAGGAGCTTCACCTTCCTCATCTCTCACCTCTCTTTCATCTGTTGCGTCTGAGTCTGTCAATGTACATGTTTCAGCAAGCAGCCCCAGTCCACCTCCACAGGGATCTTCATCTAAAATTGCTGCAAAAGAGCCTACCCCTAAAAACAGCTCTCCAAGTGTTACAGCTGAAGTCAGAGAGCTGTTGAACATCCCACCACCCCCTAAAGTCAAAGCACCATGTCCTCCTCCTCCAGAGACATGGGTTCACAACAGACGCTCCTTTGAGCTCCTGTGTGGTTCTTGCCCTAATGTCAACAACGGAACCCAGACACCAGCAGGGATACAGAACAGCACAGTCAAGCAGGCAGGAACTCAGACTGAAGACAGTATCGAGAAGCAAGTTTTAGTTGAAGAACAATCATCCATGGAAAAATCTGGCACAGAATTGACAGAGAGTCCTGCCAAGCCAGAGACATTGTTAGAGACGGTACCTGGAATTGTTCTCAAAGAACTGGAGGATAGTGAATGTCGTGGAATCCATGAAGAAAGAATAGAAGTAAGTGCCGACACTCAGAAACCAGAGCAGAGTTGCCCTGTAGTCAAGCTTCCTGAGAGTCGAGAGGTAACTCCAAAGAAAGATCCACCTCCAGTCATGAAGAAACCTGTGACAGTGCTGCTCAGAGAGGAACAAACTTTAAAGGAGCCCTCAGTGGATGAACAACAAAGTCAATTGAGTAGTAGTGCCACAACAGAAGTTGATGTTCCTGTTGAGAACAGTAAAATCTCGTCATTAGATCCACTTGATAAGAGTGGGAGTGAGACAGACAACAGAAAGGTCATATCCAAGCAGACACTCTCTGTAGAGGCCCCCAAAATAAGCAAGACCTCTCCACCACCAACCCCTCCTCCCACATACCACCCCACACCTCCTCTTTCAAGAAAAACACCCACCCCATCAGTATCCATGACTTCAGATGATCTGGACAGGGTACAGGAAGAGAGCCATGTCATAGAGTCCTGCTGGCCACCCCCTCCACCTCCAATGGAAGGGGATTCAGTCTTTGATGGGGGAGATGAGGTTGACTTCCCTCCACCTCCTCCACCCTTAATGTCAGAGATTGTGCCAAAAGTGACAGACAGTTGTATGATGGTGCTGGATCTTTCAAAAAGCCAGACTGAGAAAGTCGAAGCACCAATGGAGGATTTGAGTGAAGTTGGGACCTCTGTCTATGACCAGATTCCACATGTTCCTCCTGCTCCACTACAAACAGTCACTGACTCTTCACTAGAGGTGGATGTGCAGGTTTCCAAATCCAACACCTGTGATGAAATTTCTTGTAGGCAAGTACAGAATACTACAACAACAGACAGTGCCAAACCTGCACCAGTAGAGGTACCCGTATTGCAACCTGTTACAAAAATAGAGCACCAAGTGTCTGTCTCTACTTTAGTTCCCTCAAGCAGTTTCCTAAATCAAGATTCTCTTAGAACTGAAGATCATTTGTCCTTTGGGCCTCCAGTCAGTACCCACCCCCAAGTTACTATCCCAGTAGCACCCCCATTACAAGCTGATAATTTGACCAATGGTGTTAATTTCAGAAGGCAGCCCAGTGTAGCAAATAGAGACTCCAGGAGCAAGGAACTCCTTTCACGACATAAAAGTGCACCCATACCTAAAGAGGATGCCAACATACCCCTGGTTACCCCTTCCCTGCTCCAGATGGTTCGTCTTAGGTCAGTTAACATGACTGAGGATCAGGTGAAAGCTCCATCTGAGGACAAGTCAACAAGCCAGGAAGCTCCAGCTACTGAGAATTGCCCGATCTCAATCCCAGGACCTCACAATGTTCCACAGAAGCCAATCCGCAAGTCACTGTCGCTAAAATCTCCCCCTAAAACAGTTAAAGCATCTCCTGTGACACTAAACACCCCAACCATGACACTCAACACCACTTCACTGCGCTTACAGGAAGCCATACGCATGAAAACTGCAGCCATGTCTTCAAGAGATGGTCTTCCATCCCGACTGGGAGTGTGGTCTTCAGCTCACAGCTATGTCAGTGAACAAGGCGCTCTGTCACAGAAAACACTTGAAGGAGGTGACATGCACAAGTCCCCAGCTTCTACCGCCAGCTTTATCTTCTCTAGGAGCACAAAGAAGGTTGTAATTGAGCCTGCAGCAATCTCCTGCCCTGAAGCTCAAGCAAGTCTGAAGCACAGCTTGGCAGTAGAGCTTAGGCAGATAACTGACCAGTCAAAGACTGTCACCTTCTCCAATGGTGGAGTAAAATCGGACAAAGTACCTCCACCGGTAGCTAAGAAACCAGCCCATGGGAGCGGGAGTACTACACAGAGTCCCCCTGCCTGCACGGCAAAGATGGACTTCAGTGTGGGAGGGAACGGAGCCATAGGAGTACGGAATGTGAGTGGATTAACACAACTTGAGACAACAAGTAAGAGCAGAACTTTATTTGTAAGCATGAGTTTCTGTCATTTCTGGAGTCATGCCACCATCAGTGTGTTTGAGTGTACTGCAGCTGAGTCAGTGCATGCATAAATCGATGTTGCCACTCCATCATGAAAAAGCAGAATGCAAGTTCTTACATTACTGTGATCTTGACCAACTAAGCAGTTTGATGGTGCATTGAAGAGCACATTTTTTGGCTAAGAGGACAAAACTGCACACACAAGTTAAGCAACAAAATAGGAAAGCTGCTTAGTTGCTTAAAATGTCTTCCACACGAGCATGTTTCTCCATCAGCCATAACCTGGAGCTCATGATCATGCCACCCTAGCAGAATGTGATTAGGACAGAAAACCCATCGCATGTGCTTCTGTAACTGTATTACATTGTTGACATAATGTCTAACCTCTTTTTTTCTTTTTTACCCTTTAGCTACAAGAGTAACAGCAGACACAATCGAGACGCTGTTTTGAGAGAGCTCAATGGTGAGCGGCAAAGGCTTGTGCAGGAAAAAAACAAGCTAGAAGAGGACAACCCACAGCAAGAGCTATGTCCACTATCAGAGTGTCAAGTCTTCTCCAAAAGCCTTAGCCTGTAATGGCCTTCCTACATATTTATGCAAAAAAGTGATGCTCTGAGTTTCTAATGAAAGCTTTATTCTGGAGTATTTTTCTAAACCTTAATTCTCTTACAAAAGCCCCTCAGGACAAACTGTGTGCAATGGCTGAACTGTAAATATTTGGCTTGTGAGATATCGCCTCCCAGAGGAAGAAGTAGGTAGTGCTTGCTAAAGCTCAGACAAAGGATGTCTCACCAAGCATTTCTGTACAGAGATCAGCTGTTAAATCCTGTTGTAATATATATAATGCACAATTTTCAAAGGGGTTTAAATCAACATTTTACCACTTTCTATGCCTAAAGATCTGATGACAAAGTATATGTCACAAAATTTCAGTCCTGCTTTTCATTGTGTGGGTAGAGATCGCTCTGGGTTTGTGTTTGAGAAAAAGGGACGCTGCGTACTCACAAGAACAGGAGGGATATTATCCATTCAGACAGAGGCACTTTTGTAAAGATTAAATTGAAGTATCAGGTGGCAGTAATTCCTAAAATGTCAATAAGATGCTTTATATAATCATGTTCTTTGGTTAAATAAAGGTCAGCTGAGCAGATTCTGAAAATCCTTTTAACACAGGTATCATTATTTATGTGTGGCTATTCCCACGTGTAGCGCTGTCATTTTCTTTCTCCTACCAAATCTGAAATATACAACCATTTATTTCATCTAAAAACACTTTCAGGGCTGTAGGTGTGAATATTGGCCCTGTGTGATTCGTTACACTGGAGTAGACTGTGTAAAATCAGTTTGTTTAAAACATTATTTACCTAAAACTTTTAACTTGGTGGAAAATCAAGCTCATCACCTTTTGCACAAAATGCTTTTGCCCCAGCAAAATCATTGTTGGGTGAATTTTTTTTTGACTCTTTGTAACGGGTCAAAAACCCAACAACTTGATGATTATAAAGAATTATGTACAGTTATTACTTCTATAAATAAAATATAAGTGTATTAAAAGTGTTTTTGTGCTTCCTTTTGGGAAATAAACTACATACTCAACTCTCATCCAACACAAATATACAAAGTTTTCTGCAGACCACATAATCCAGACCACTTTTATTTCACTTTAGAGATGATGTGTTATTTGAATATTTGACAGATTGTTATGACATCGATGTCTGTACAACATTTCCTTAAATTTTACATGACAAGATGATTTTTTATACACACCCGATGCCTGTTTCTCATATAACAAGTCTTATTCACCGAGTTTACACATTGGCTACTACCCTAACATACTCCATTAAGGCAATCAACACATCGACTTTAACCTGCAAGAGTAATGAAAAATTTATTCCCTTTCAAATGCCTGAGATTCTTCAAGGAAAGAACATGTAGACCAACATTTAAGAAAGTTGACCTCTGTCGTCCAAGTCCTAACTCGTCACTCGAGCACTAACCCAGTCACATTGTATCGTAACATTTAAGAGTGCTCAGAAAACCGTACAACTCCTGATAACAGATGGATATGAATGGTTGGTTAATTAATTACATCAATTCTACATATGATTCTTACTTTTTGATAAATCCATAGCAAGGTGAGAGCGTCTGAGCTGTCCAAAGCATCTGAAAGTTTTGGCATCAATGTCCCATCCTTTTCCGATGGATATATCAAGGTGAAGTTTGAGCACTGTTGCCACGGTGATGTGTTGACAAGAGTATTTTTGATGATATGTGGCAGCTTGTGGTAAATGTGGAGCATGCGTTTCTTAACTGATGTTTCCTCCTTTGAGTGTCTTACATGTGATCTGTCCTAGTTTGGTCATCAGAGGTTTGTCTTTCCACTGAGCCACACACTCATCGGAAATCTTCAGGTCCACCTGGGGGAAAAGGAAAGTATTGCAGTTATTTAGCATGTGTGCTTAGAGTGCACATACATTAGGCTAGCCTGGGGTTCTCAGAGTGCGCCTCACATGAAGATCACACCTCAGGTATAAAATATAAATTTTAAGTATATAAGTATAAATTTGTCAAATAAACTGTTAATATGGAGTCAAATATATGATCATGGATTATTTAAAATCAACTGTTTGTCTAGTGAGGTTGGCAGAGGTGACATCATAGAGCAGGAGAAAGTTAGTACAACAAATACTGTTTACATAAGGTTTGCAAGATGTGCTACATGAAAATAAAATGCGCTGTAAATAAGACAAACATAAATAAAAGCCAAATGCTAAATTAGCTAAACAGTTGAAAAAATGTATAAATCGCAATATATTGTGTTGCAATACTGACCATAATGCAAAATGTTAAAAATTGCAATAATATTGTATTGTGGCCCAAGTATCGAGATAATATCGTATCATGGGGCCACCAGTGATTCCCACCCCTACTGGTTACTAAATAATTTTAGTTCCCCCAATCCCTCACCTGAACATGCAGACCGAAGGAGAGTTCTGAATCTCAGAGCACCACATCTATTTCACTGGCAACTAACATGATTTTGTCGTTTTGTTTTTAATAGCAGTTTGCAGATACTGTCAGACTTAGTTGAAACAACTATCTGATGGTTATACTGCATCACAACCAGGTACAGGTAGGACTTAAACACTGAAAACTAGACTTTAAGATGAGATATTATTCACTCAGTTTTTACAGTAAATTCAGTGTTCAAATATTGAAAATTACAGCCCATCCCTCGCAGTGATGTCCCTTTCCCATCAGGACACGCCTCCCTTGTCAGACCGAGTAGCAACAGGACTGCTCTCAGTAGCGTTTCAGGTGATGAAAGAAACACGAGCGAAACAGATGAAAATCTGCTGAAACCAAGGAGCCCTTGACAGAGATCCTGTTTTTAGTGCTGCCTGCTTTCCATCACTTAATGACTCCAACCCCTAAGCCAACACATGCGTATACTCTTGACAGGTTGACAGTTAATTCTTAGTGACACATACCTGTAGTTTCTCCCACACTTTCTTCTTTGGGTTAAGTCTTTCGTCTGGTTTGCCTGCCTCATATCCTTCCACAAAGACCTTCTCTCCTGGCGATGACCCCTCTGGGGGGTCCAGAGGCTCCACCCTCCTCGGCTCCCCTTCACTAACAAACCAAATAGACATAATGAGAAATAAACAAAAACTAATTCTGAGTTAAGTGAGTTTTTTTGTGGAGCTGCCACTCACACAGAGGCACATAACAGCATGGCTTGAGACTCAATCCCTCGCATCTTCTGGGGTTTCAGATTGCACAGCAACAACACCGTCCTGTCCTGTAAGTCCTCCTGGGAGATATAGGCCACCAGCCCGCTCACTACTGTCCTCGGCTCTGGCTCTCCCACGTCAATCTTCTCCAGGTACAGCGAGTCTGCGTCTGGATGCTGAACAAACCCATGTGAACAGAGAGGGCAGAGGACTCTGAAACTGACAGTTCAACTGGACACTGATCAGCTGGTCAGGCGTCAAAAGACGATCTGGGTATCTTACCTTCTCCACACTGATGATCTTGCCAACCCTGATGTCTAGTCTGGAGGGAGCCAGCTCATCGTCTTCTCCTCCTCCCCCGCCGCCTCCTCCTGCCTTTGCGCCTTTGGCTGCTCCTTCTGATCACATAAGAACACGAACGAATGATTGAACATCTTCAGAGTGGACTGGTTCACAATGCAGAGCTCTTATTACTGCTACATTTGGATGTAAAGGGCTGGAACAACAAGTGAGCGATGACAGAGAGGATGATGGGTAAAAATACTGACTTGATTTTGACTGGCTGGGATAGGCGGAGTTGGTGAGTTTCCGGAGCTCAGGTGACTCAAACTTCTTTCTGATCGGCTCCAGCAGTTGGTTCAGTGCTGCTTCCACTGAAGCCTTCAGGTCTCCTGGATGGATGACCTAAAAGGTCAAAGGTTAACAACAGTCAGACCAAAATGTGGAGGGTGTTTCGAGCAATTATGTACCTAAAGACAGGCTCTTGTTTTCCAAATACTTCACCTCCTCTGCGAAGTCCTTCTCCACCTCTTCAAAGGCTTTGTAGATTTTGTCTCCTCCCCACTTAGGGTCTCTTTTCATGCAGAACTCTGTAACACAGTATTGTATAAGACTCATTTCTAGTATTTCAAAAGTAACAGGAAAAACTTTGCAGTCAACTCCACAGTTTACAATTTTAAAAGGGTGGGGGATTCTACCTCCACGCAGAGGGAAGAGGACGTATTTGACGAAGGAGAGGACCCCGTTGTTCTGGATGTTGCCCGGCTCACAGAAGGCTTTCTTTAGCTTCTTCTTCACATCTTCTTTTGAGTCCAGCAGATCGATCTTTGACTCCTACACCCGAACAAAATTATAACAGATCATGAATACTACTGTCTTTATTATTCGTCAATATTGTTTTTATATAACTGTGACATACTTCTTCTGAGGAGCTCATCTTGGCTCCTGTCAGACCAGGTACCATGGGGTTCATCAGATGAGCACGTTTAGCATAGCCAAGAGAGGGCAGGTACTGGAGATGAATGAAAAGCTACAGTTAGACTTTATTCAGAGATGTTTCCCCCCAAAGGTTTATTGTGGAATCACCGAACAGAAATGTTTTTTTAAGCTATGATATGCAAAATCTTGTTTCCTGTTAAGAGCAGCAGGAGAAGAGAGGGTGAGTTGTTTAAATATAAGCAAAGAAGGAGTAAGGAGGTACCTTCTCTGCCAGAGTGAAAATCTTCCTCTGATCAACACCCCCAAACTGGGCGTCCACTTTAAGGTACTCCTCATCCAGGGCCTGAGGACATACAGAAATCACATTTATCATCATGGGACCCTTTCATTTATTTTTATTTTGGAGACTGTAACATTTACAGAAGAGGTGGTATAAAGCTCATGTCCATGTCTCGACTATTTTGAAACATGTCGCTGACATTAAATTTCAATTGAGCAATGAGCAAAATCTGATGTTTTCTTTATCATATATCAGTTTGACTTATTTATAAACCCTCAAATCAAGTTTTGATTGATACTTTCTACTGCCTTTAAACTATTTCATTATTAAAAAATAGATGTGTATATTTTCCATCCTTCATTTTATTGCTGTGAATATGAAGAAAAGTTTTCTTTTACCATTTCTAAGCAGCATTTTAATGGTTTTCTTACCTGCAGCCCAGGGTACAGCAGACCACTCAACAAGGGATGCTCCACCTGCTTAACCACCTCAGCTCCAGCCTTCTTAGCATCGTGTTCAGTGACCATGGAGGACAGGCGGTAAACATCAAGCGTGTACTCTCTGACACAAAAGACAAAACACATGTAAGCCAGTAGTTCGAGTGTCGTAGGCTTTATTAAGGTGATGTTAGGTTAAGAAAGCACAACTGACCTGCTTAGCTGGTAGTCGGTTCCTTTGACAAACTTGAGTTTATCCAGAGGCACACCAATGCTCTCTAACATGGCTTTAATAACCTGTTCGTAATACTTCACCCTGAGCTCCAGCAGCTCCCAGGGGGCCTTCATGTTGTCTAGGTAAGCATGCAAGTCTGCAAACAGTATAGTGACCTATGGATGAGAATGAAACGCAAAAACATCCCTGTAAGATCATGATAAACAGAGGCAACAGAGGAGTAGAAAACCTAAAAACTCACAAAATGCTCAATCAGATTCACCCACCTCACATCCAGCCTTGAGAAAGTCGGCTATCTTGGACATGGGGACGAAGTAAGCCACATGGGGTTTGCCGGTGGTCGCTGTGCCCCAGTAAACCCTCAGCTCTCTCTCTTGAAGGACCTGCTTCACCTTCTCCTCTCCAAGGACCTCCTGTAACACACACGAAACACACAATTGGAGGTTAATTTGTATACGCTGTCTGGGGAATCTAGAGATTACAAATCAGTGTGTGTGTGTATTACCTGAAGGTTCCTAGTGATGAGGTGGAACTTCTCATCTGGACTCAGCTGGTCTGCCATGGTGCAGGGCAACCTCACTAGAAAACAGAAGCTTATTATGTTTCACATTAAAGGCATATTCCGCTGTAAAAGCAGCCGCTGGAAGAGAGTATTATGGTGAGTTGTTTTTAGTCTCTTTACTAAAGAAATTAGGCAAAGTTAAAAAGATGTTTGGTGGCTAGTGCTATGGCTAGGACCCTATATGTACTGTTGATGAAGTTAGGTGCTGTTCTGAGCATTATTTGTGGCTATAGAGTGGTGTTTTGCTTGAGGTTTGTCTCTCGAGGGGGTGTCTAACTCGGTGTTACGGTGTGTTTGACCCTAAATTAATTTTACGCCGTAATATCCCTTTAATGGCTGTGTTGTTGTCTTATTGGCTCAAACATGTGGGTCAGTCCATATTAAATGACACATCTTTTTGTCACCATACTGAGGGAGCAGCAGGCAACAGAAAACTACTTAAAACTGTATGATGAAAAGAAAAGACCTGAGTTGAGTATTAATATAGTTCACTATCAGATGCTGCTGTTTATTAGGCTTATTTTACCCTTTATATCCCTCGTTTGAATCGTTAACACTAATATAAACACACACTGGCTGACGTACACACTACCTATAGTAGTGTATGTCACGCAGAACATGAATGAATCACTCAGCCAATGCTAGGCTAACTAGCATCAAAACCATGTGCAGCTAATGTTTCCTCGCCTTAGTGATGTTACGAAGAATAGGTTAATTCAGTCTCTAAATGAAGTAGATATATTTTCGATACTTTTGATAGAAACATCACGCAGACATTCTGTAAATCCTGTCGACTTACCTCTAAGCCTGTGTTCTTAGAGGGAGACGTGGGTGAGAGAAGCCGGTTGGGTGGACCTGTCACTGTGTTGCATCAGCGCAAGGACCAGCTCTGACATCGACTCACACATTAGTTAGGGGCAAGCAATCGAGTGCAGAGCATTTCATTCAGGTGCAATCAACTTCAGACCCTGACAAGGGAGATAACTAGGTTTTTATTCATTTTTTATTCCTTTTTATTATTATTATTATTATTATTATTATTATTATTATTATTATTATTATTATTATCATTATTATTATTATTATTGGTTGTTTTTATTATTTCCTTTTACTGTCGTTATTTTTATTTGTTGTTTTCACTATTGCCTTTCACTGTATGCACTTTGAGATCTGTTTCCTCAGATGTGAAGTGCAATATAAATTAAAGTGTATTATTATTATTATTTTTTATCTTTATTATTATTATTATTATGGTTAGTTCTGAAATCAGCGCCAACCAGCTGTAATATTATGAGCGTCTGTTTAATGTAATTCAATCACAGTTTTTACTTTCAGGGAACTTTTAGAGATTCTGGTTTTGATGAAATGATCAGGACAATATCAAGTCTAGGCCTATGCTTTCTCTGGACCACACAATCAGGTAATACTAGTGCAAGGCAGGTTAATGAAATGTAATTAAAAACCATCAACTGGAATCATAAATAATAAAGATGTAAAAAGTGGCTTAAGAGATGCCCTGAAAACATCAAGATTTTGCAATAGTTTTTTAAACTGCAAGAAAAACCCTAGAGCATATGAAAGACCCGGGACAATATTTATTATAGGCTTGATATATGATGAACAGAAGAGTACAAAATGCCCTTGAAAGATTAGAGTGCATGAAGAAGAAGTCACAAAATAGTGATACAGTGAGTCAAATTGGAGGGAAGATCTATCTGCAAACATTTGGCACCAGCTTGGTAGTACTGCACAAGTCAGGATGCCCCACTCCTAAAAATTAAAAGTAGGAGTAAACTCTTTCTCAACTGATTAAATCAATAAGACATGGAGCTAACTGCTACAGTTGTCTTATGTAAAGCACTAAATGTGCTCACACTTCTAAGTTCCCATTGAGCAAAGTTCACATCTACAACACAGATTAATCCAAATGTATTGTTTAATGATTCAGATCCACATTAAGACAAGTCTCTTATTTTGAAATTAAACAGAGCACAGCATCTGGGTAAAAACATTGTGCAAATCCAGGTCACTTTAGTGTTAACCATACATGCAACATGTACGTTCAGTAAAGATTAAAAAAAAAAAAGGTTAAAAGTCCTTTTGGCTTTGAGAAAACGGCTGATAGACAGTGACACCCTCAAGTGTACTTTGATGCCGTGGCAGCAATTCCAGCCTCTGGCTCTCAGACTTTTGAGAGGATTATTTAATTTTATAAATGCACAGGAATGCATGTTTATCAAAGCCCCTTTGTCCTGCAATTACCTTGCAAACTGTCAGGAAGATTTAAATTCCCTTTAAGATCATGAGGGATTTTTGGTTGTACCCCTGTAGTACACCTTATCTCTTGGCTGATCTTGTCTTATTTTCCAACATAGAGGCATTCCTCTAAATAAAACAATATTACTCTGCCTTATTGAGCCATCAAATGTATCAAGAGCACAGAATTGTTGCTGCAGACGATGGAACAAAAAGAAAAAACTGCAGTATGTTCTTTTTAATCTGACACCTTTACCCCGTGGCAGCATACAGATATCAAAAATACTGGGAAACAACTGGAGGTGGGAGAAAAAAATCAATTCACATAAGTATCATGATTTTTTTGGTTCACAATTTTTAAATTGATTTTTATGTTCAATTTTTTTTTTTCTAATTTAAGAATTAATCTTAAAAACTAACTTAAATGTGATATGTATTCATAGACTGTATATAGAATGGACAGCGTCTGCCTCCTTTCTGGGTGAAGCCACTCAAAGAACAGCACCCTCTGGTGAAGGGCTGCAGTATAGGTCATATATCCCGCCTCCCACAGCAAAGCTTATGGAAATGTGGACAAAATTCAGAAATTTATTACAAAGAACATAAATTTTTCTCCCCCCTGCTGTTGACATGTAGTCACAGTAGGACTGGTTTGTGCTCAAGTCCTCTTTTTTCTGTGAAGCTCCGTCTTTAAAAGTTATTACGGTGTTCATGTTTTCTATGATTGACACCTGATACAGCCTATTGGTGTACAAGGATTGCGTAGCTCACCCGGGGGATACGCTGTTTGAGCCGAGCGTCATCACAGCGCAATGCTGGTTTCAGGAAATTGAGAAAAATCCAGGAAGTACTGAGAGCTTTTTGGCTTCAAACCTGTATACTGGCAGGAGGCGGAACCAAGCTGTCCATAGTATATCCAGTCTATGGCTGTGTCCGAAATGGATCCCTAACCCATATAGGTGACTACATGGGGGTTAGCGCAATTTTGAGGGGTGTCCGAAACCTCAGTGATCAATTCCAGTGCCCTATATAGGCGACTCAGAATTTCCCATAAAGCATTGCAAAATGTAGTGACCCTCCAATGGTCACTCACCGGTGGCGGGGATACCTTCATGCATTGCATCATGCCATGTAGTGTCCGAAACCTCCAGTAATTGAGCTCACTACTTAGTCAACTATACAGTAAAACCCCATATGGGGGTTGGGGGTTAGGAATTGAGTGATTAATTTCGGACACAGTCTATGTGTATATTTTTGGGGGCGAATTTGGTTCCTGGAATAGTCAGTAGACAATCATAATCATTCAACTGTTTCACTGGTGTTAAAAATGCAGACTAAATATCGAGGAAATTGACAATATCGTAGAATCGCAATTTAATTCAAATTGACATCCAAAAAATCGTAGAAGAATCGAATCAGGAGAAAAGCATATCGTCCCAGCCCTAGAAACAATACATTTTATTGCTAACAGTCCCTTTGTTTACTATAAAGAAGCATCCTTTTTAACTCCAGCCAACAACTTTACAGCAATTTTGCCAATCATCAGTCTCATGATTGAAGAACTTGATTTGAGTTCTCCAACAGCTTGAGTGTGTGCATGTTGTTAAAGTATGATTGGGTAGTCTGTTTGGCTGATAAAAGATGAGTTCGTAAGTGGCATCAATACTGACTTCAGTAATGCTTTATTTTCTAAAAGTACTTTGGATGTCTATATCAGCCTGTTGTGAAGACAAACAGGGTTGAGTTGTTGTCAATATCTGTCCATTGTCCGCTAAGAGGTTTAGAGTCAACTCTCAGGTTCAAGCCGGGGCAGCACAGGGAGGATGAGGTTCCCAAACGAGGAGTCCTGAGTGATGAAGAAGCCGGACGAATGGACGTGTGCGTGCTGCAGGGCGGCCTTCTGCTGGGCGGCGATGTGCTGCTGCTCCGCGCTATCCCTCACCTCCTTCAGGCTGGACCTGGACGACAGAGGGATGTTTGCTCCAGGGTTGTTCATGGACTGGCTCTGCATAAGCCGCCTCTTCTCTTTGTCCAACTCGGCCAGGATTGCCACTCGGGTCTTGTTTTGAAAGCCTGGACCCGGAGGATTAGAAGCCATGGTAGCCTCGCTGCGTTAGCGGCGAAAAACGGCTTCACGAGTTCATGAAGCAGATGCAATAAAATGCTTCACAGTAAACCTTCGTTCACTTAAAGCCGATTAAATATTCGTTTTTTTCTGACAGTCAATGTGAAGGGATGCAAGACTTCGTCGTGAATTTCTTCGGCGTTGCTTCCGACTCACTGCGGGATACAGTAGCAATACTTCCGGTTGTTTACCCTTCAAAGTAAAACCCACGACGTCTTATTATAATAACAATAATAATAATAATAATAATTGTTATTACTATTATTTTTATTATAAAAGTTTTTAGTGTTATTAGTAGCAGTTTTTGTAGAAGCAGATGTAGTAGTAGTAATAGTTAATGTAAATGTAAATGGTCTTTATTTATACAGCCCTTTACAATAAATAGAAAATAAAGATGAATAAATAAAAACAAAAAATAGAAAATAAAGATGAATAAATAAAAACAAAAAATAGAAAATAAAGATGAATAGATAAAAACAATACAAAGCAATAAAAACAATTAAAAAAAAATACAATGAAAAAATCATGATCAACATCATGAGCTGTTCAAAATTATAAAACTAAAACTGAAATATCCCATTTCAATATACAGATGATTTGGCTATTTTTAATCAGTTACTTTTATAGCCTGTATTAAAATTTGCAATTATTGCCATAACATAACAGCAAAATTGAAAAAAATACCAATAAGTACCAATAAGTATCTAACATTACACCCCTCCCCCTTTTTTTGTTTTGACCTTTTTTATTATTATTATTATCATTGTTGTTGTTGTTATTATTATTATTATTATTATTATTATTATTTAACAAGACCATTGCAAAGCCAATAAAGGACACTAGATGACAGTAGTTTGCCATGAATCATCTTCCATGTTTGACTCTACTCTGCTGCAGATGTCCTACTGACAAGCTTTTGCCTTTGTAATCATTTAACTACACAATGATCATTCCAGCCTGGTTATTTATTAGTCCATCTTAGCCCATCTGTTAAGCTAATTATCATTGTTGACATGAACTTATTGGAGCCAACTAAAATATCTGAAACACTGAATTAGTTCTGAAAAAGGTAATAGATCTTTGGGTGTCAGTTGAGTAATTGATGACATTTTTCCAAATTGCTGACTCATATATTCCTACTTCTGAGACACACCAGTCTGCAATTGTTTATCAGTTGAAGTGCAGACATCATCTTCTATCATAGTTCTGCAGTAAATTTGGTTGATTGTACTTGTTCACATTAATCTTGTGTGACATAGCTCAAGTTCTGTGGTGTTTCATGGAAGTTTCAAGAATAAAAATGCTGACCAATTGTTAACAGGACACTTATTAGTATTTATTAACAACCTTTTACAATCTCAACAGTTTTTCTTAAATAACTACAGTACAGTGTACATAAGTTCATTTCACCTGCAGCCACAAATACCAAAGATATGTACATGGTATTTACAAAATATACATATGCACAGGAGGCTTGTACAGAAGGCTTCTGAGAGTCCCTGTGGGGTTAAAGCTCACACTTTTGGCTACAGCCTCAAGAGTCATGAGGGAAGTTTGGACAGATATATAAAAGACCAAACACTGACAAGACAAAACAGGATAAGATGTACAGGATGTACAATTATTTCAGGCTAAGTGGATGAAAAATGGCACCATGTTGACATGTAAAGTATCCTCTGAGGAAGGAAAATGTAAAGGAAATATGAACAATTTTACATCGGCAACCCAGTTGTCAGAAACAATATGTTGAAGATGTAACAGTATGTATAACATATGACTGTATATACACATTTCCATATCAATAGATATGAAATATGTCAATCCACGCTTTCATGACAGGGATTGAGATGATCAAAAAGCATTTTTGTTGTTCCTTCAATAAACATATTTATATGTACAAAAATAAACATTCAAAAGAAAAAAAAAACACCCAAAAAAGGGACTGCTAGGAGTTCACTTCCCCGATTTCCTCTCATCTTTTCTTCACAATTATGTGCTTCCCTTTTTGAATGCAGATGTAGCAAAGACAGTAAGGATGGCAACATGCATTTAAAGGTGTGTGAATATTTCAAAATTATACTCCTTTCCTTTTGACACGTCCAATTTAGGACCTCACAGGCCTTAAATAGGTTTAAATATGGTGAGAAGCAAGACTATTCCAGCAAACATGAATTCAAAAAACAGTAAAATCAAGTCTAATAAATATTTAAATAATGACATAACTAGATTAGTACCCGCCATGGTCACCGTTTGCTCATTATTAAGGAAATTAAAGCATTTAGAGCAGAGGAAAGGATTTTCTGTATACAGTAGCTGTCAGTTCAAAATATAATGTAAATAATGCCATTGCTGGATGAGCATTGTAGTTATGTGTACAAACTGCCTATATTGTTGTAGTGGTTTCAGTTCTATGGTGGAGAAGTTAACAGAGCCCTTTAGAGCGAAACTACAGCTCTCTGGCCTCAAGTTCAAACATCACATCAGCTTGGGTTTCTTTGCAGAATTACAAAAAAAAAAGGCCAGTGGGTAGGAGAAATGAGACGGAAACTTACTGGCCAACTGCTTCTTGTAAACTGTATGTGCTAATAGTACAATTCCAGGAAACACCTTAAGTTGTTCAACAAACACACTGAGAGCAGGTGACCGGCACAAGTTTGTCACTTTTGAATTTCTTATCTCAAAATGAGATGATATTAAGGCGGTATCACTGTTCAAGTTTCACACAATGCTCACATCTCACAACTGTAAAGTTGAGCTTAGCGCAGTGCTCATGGTCATAAATGCACGATGTTCTATGTACAAAGATGGAAACTGCCTCGATGCGTCAAGTAGCACCAATACTGACAGTACTGACTAAACATGCTCCTGTCACAGTTCATGGTTTTGTGCATTTCTCAACCAAGTATGACATCAACCTTAAAGAAAACATTTTCTGGCAGTACCCAAAAGTAGTAGGTTTTACAAAAAAGTAAGGCTTTTGAGATCTGACTGAAAAAGGAGAGTGAATTTCATGCCAAGAAAATGTTTTGAAGTCAAATTCGAGGACTTGAAACAGCAGCAGAGTGATTGGACAAGGCAGTGTCTACATGATCCGACAGGTCCAGATCTGTTGGTCCCGCCAAGTGCAAAAATACCAGCCGATCTCTCGACTGGTGGGTGAGTCTCTAAAAAGGTGCTAGACCATGTTGGCAAGTTCTGTTGAGTCTGTCTCTGAATCTGCCTCATTTTCCCTGTGAAAGAAAACGAAGAACAACGTCAGAGATTTGCTTCATAGACATAAAAAAAACCACAAAGAAACCAAGACGTTCATCCTTACCTCTGTTCCTGGAGCAGTTTTCTGTTGCCTTGTCTCCTTTCCTCATCGATTGGATAAAAGTACAAAATACTCAGGCCGATTATGATAAGAGCAACGGGGGCGGCAGACACCAGGAGTTTCAAGGTTACATCCACTGCCTGTGGTTGAGTGCAGCCTCTGCTGATGTAGCCTGCAAAACTGTAAAAGAAGCAACACAATTATGGAAATGAAACAAGTGCCCTACATTTCCAACGCAATGTTGTGTCAAACCTCTACCGCAGTAATGTATTTGTCAGCCCATTCAGAGCTCAATGTAAAGTGAACTAACTGATCAAAGGCCAACAGTGTACCGTAAAGTCAGTCATGTGAAGAATGCATGAGCATGCATGTGCTACAGCCTTACTGTACTTACTCCAACAATAGAGGAAGGAATTCCTCGCTTTCACGAGGGATTAAGGTTCTGGGAGATTTGGCTTAGCCTGATTTTTTTTTTTTTTAATAAATCGAATGCAACACCTTCAGAACCTATTTCACTTACACTATAAGTTACTTGTCAGTGTCTTTGAACCAATACTTACTCTAAACTCAGGGTGGAGATGCCCAGAGAGACTCCTGAGGCAAACTTGGTAAAGAAGACGTAGAAGGAGTAAAAGAGAGCTTCGTGGCCGGTGGAGTCGGGGTTCTGCACTTGGAAATCATCGACAACGTCAGGCAGCATAGACCTTTAAAAACAAACAAATAGTATATTAGTCATGATTGGCTGCAGTGATGAAGTATAAACCCAAAATATGACATTAAAAAGCATCGGCAATGGTCTTACCAGGGAAGCAGGAAGGCTGCAGCCACTCCAACCCCAGCAGCAAAAGAGACGATGTAGGTCACAATGAGGTTACTCTTGACGCACACCACCAGGATCATGAAGGGAACCACAGACTAAGAAAAAACAGAAGCGCATTAGAGCACTTGAGCACATAAATTCACTGAAGGTCTGTCAATCATTCACGCTTAGCATGACTTAAAAGTGGTGTTTGGTGGATTTTTGGACTTACCAGAGTGCCGGTGTAAACCGCAGTCTTCTTCCCAAAGCGAGTCAGAAACCACTGCCAGAAGGGGATTGCCAGAGTAGCAGAGAGCTGAGGGGGGAGAAACAAAGTCTAGTTAGACCAGCTGTTGGAGCTCGGGTTTTACGTGAGCAGAAACAAAAATCAAATCAGTTTCAGGAAATTCCACAAAAGACCTCGAACACAATTTCCGTGCAGCAAGGAAAGACCCCTGAGTTTTGTTATGTAATAATAAAAAGGCATGGGATTTGATGCATTCTCTAAGTGATTCGGCTTTGGATGAACATGAAGCGTGGTGATGCAGAACAAAAAGGGGTGTTGCTCGTTTGACCTCTCATATCAGCCAAACACAACAGCGAGGGTGGAAGACAATACAGTTTCAGCAGATCTTCCCAAAACAAATCTGAGCTCAGTGTTATGAAAGATTCCATCAGGGTCATCCTGTGACTCCACAGGGGGGTTAGGGGTACCTGCTTGGATCCTTTTGGCCCCTGACCCCTCTGTGTTTAAATAAGATAACAATAACACAAAGCGCTTGTGCAACAGTATTTTCCCACCTTTTTTAAAACGAGCGAAACCACCGACACATCATTTCAGCAGTCATTTCTGTAGCTGTGTTGTGTGTTTTTGTGGTTTTCCTTTTATGAGTGAGTGAACTTTCATTTTATGTCATGAGCTGTGTCAGCTGAATGTGTGCACTCTAAGCATCAAAACAAGACTTATCATTGAAAAGCACAAACCTTAGCACCATGAACTCAATCGGTCTTGGGATATAAAAGCATAAATGACAGCTTAGAAACTATTATCTTCTCTTATCTTCGTAATAGGACTAATAAAACACTGTTAAAGCGACTGACCTTTGTGTAATGTTGATCATATAAATAGTCCGCAATTGAAAATAGGCTCATAGCAAGAAAATCACGTACCATAACAAAGGTGAAAGGAATTTCCTGTAGCAAAAACAGAGCACGCATGGCCTTTCGCTGTTTTTTTATCTATATTTACACTTGCTTTATGCGTTTGAAGTTTGCCATTTCTGCCGCTTATCTCCTAAAAAGATCAGCTCTTTTGTCCAACATCTCAGTGGGACAAGAATCATGGCTAACTTCATGAGGAGCAGTTTCTGTGGAAGTAATTTCACTAAAAAATGTATTTTAACAAAAGGTTTCGGCCTTGGTTCCATAATCCTTTCCATAAAGTCAAGGATCAAAGCGGGTAATCTTTCCAACCTCTGTAACCTGGACTCTCTCACACTGTACAGTCAGGCTGTGTGGGCTGCAGGAGCCACATCTACAGATTAATCAGCTCTAATACCTGTCGGGGTCTGCGGTGCCTCTGTGATTTGAGGACCTTTTTTTTCTCTAGGGGTCAAAGAGATGAATAGAAGGATAATCGAACGCGGCTCTTCAACTGTCTGTGGGAACGGGCTGGCATTCAAGCGGAGCAATAAGAGTGGACACACATCACACAAATGTGCAGTAAGGAGACACTGCTTTCTGGGCAAGTACAGAGCAGCTTTGTAATTGAAGACAATTTATACGTTTGCCCTGGGACAAACGCTTTTGTTCGCACTCTGGGGCTAATGGCTGAACTTGTTCCACACAAATAGGCAGCTTAGGGGTTTCTTGTGCCCAGGAGAGAAGTGGTCACTGCTATGGGAACAGCGCACCTACCGGGCTGTGAGACGGTAAATGCCACCTGTGTGTGCATGTGTGTACTCACCATGATGAGGAGCAGAATGTTCTGGAAGTCGTTTCTGAAGCCCAGCGTGGAGCTGCAGAAAAGGGCAAAGTTTCCCTCCAGGAGCTGCAGGGAGAAAGAAACACAGACACACACTCAGTCAAATCTTTACAGCCCCAACAAACACAAACAAACTGAGAGCCAAACTCACTGGCAGAGTCCACTCTGACTGAGAGCATTAACCAGTGAGAGAGAGAGAGGCTTCCAGCATTCAACATAAGAGGAGCTGTGTTTTTATACGCACCATGAAAGCCAGCGAGGTAAAGAGGAAGACCATGACCAGTTTGGCGTAGGGTCCATGGCCCATCACCAGCTTAATCCCCTCAAAGAAAGACATTGGCTCTGACCTGGGACGGCAAGAGTCTGGAAAGAGAAAAACAGAAAAGTATGCTTTATAAGGACAAAAAATAAATCAGTGTAAAAAGATATTAGTAGTATTAGTCAGGAATCCAGAGCACATGGTATCTCTCTGATTGTCTCTATAAACAAGAGGAGGCCTTTAAGGCTCATTCTCTGCTGGATCGACCCTTCGCTGGTCACAAGGCTTCCATTTAGTGTGCTCTCTCTTACACAGCATATCAGCCCACAGTCACACCATAGCATTACGCCACATCTGAGGATCCCCATTGGATCAGAGAGGAGACATCAACGATAGTTTTGTCCCATTTCAGAAGTTAATCCAATCAGGGAGTTTAAGCAGAGCAGCTGACATTAATGAGAGGGTAACTTAAAAGTGAAAAGAGACTCCTTAAACTTCATAAAAATCAATACTGGTGATTAAAAGGTTTGATTAAAAGTGAAAATAAAAAAATTTAGTTTGTGCCTGAGCCGCCAAGACGAGTATCTCAGGTTGTGTTTTCCCCTCATTTTTGCATCTAATCGGTCAAAATGAGGCATCACAGGAGTAAACATTTCATTTGTAGGCCAGAGACAGTCTGGAAAACAGATTATAGAGCCTTACCTTTTTTCTCCCTCACTCCGAAAAAGAGAACAATCGCACAGAGGATATAGATCAAGCAGATGACACCAGAAGCAATCATGTAGGCCGTTCTCTGCAAGGAGGGAAAGAAACAACAAGACTATATTTAGCACAGGAGACTAAAAAGAAAAACAGGAACTTATAAGAAAAGGCCTTTCAAATGAAGGATATGGATCTGTTTTTACCGTATGCTCCAATGAAATGACAGGCTCGGACTCATTGACTGGATGGACGAACATTGACGTGGTGTTCAGGTCTGCTACGATGTCGCCAGGTCCTGGGAGGCAGGGAGCGTTCGCCATACCCACGATCTGTCCCTGGATGGCTGTACCAACAACTGTGCCCAGAACCTCCACAGTCATCCCTGAAAGGACATTGGAAAGGTTTAGTGGTGGAGGGGTTCACACCTGATACGTCCACGGGGGAGACTTTAAAAATCACCATGACGGTCTCGCCATCTATACTCACTGTAAGCGGTGGCTGAGTCCCTTTCTTTCTGCTCTGAGCTGATGAACATCGTGAGGGCGGAGTACGGCACATGGAAGCACTGAAGCACAAACACAAAGAGGAACAATGTGAGAAAGAAATGCAGCCTTTCATTTCACTTTATGGTTTTTGCAGAGATTCAAAAGCCTAATTATGATTGTAGTTTATGTAGCACCTTTGGAAAAATACAAAAGTGGAAGGAGTGCCTGGCTTTCATGCCTGTGAAATGCATTTGTAGAGTTGTGACCAAGCTGGTTTGGCCTTTGTTCATACTGAGAATTAAACCATGTGTGGCCTGCTGACTTCACCTTCAGAAGATGTTCCCTTCAAATATTCCTCAAATCTTTTCAAGCTCATATTTTCAATTATAGAACATTTCGTCTATCCTTTTTCAATGAAACATACTGATATATTTTGGAATTACAGCCACTCTTGAATTATTGAAAACATGTAATAACTGACCCCATCATGATGCTTCAATTCTAAAACATGCAATTAAGGAGTCACTGAAGGTTGGTAAATGTTGTGCAATCTTGGTTGAGAAACATTTGTGTGGCACGTTTAGACATCTTTATGATCACTGGGAGTGTCTGTCCGTGTGGGAGTGCATGTGGTACTCACAGTCTGCAGCGTCTGGAAGATGCAGTAGAAGAAAAGGTACCAGATGACTTTGCCGTCCTCAAAGGGGGGAACGTACCAAATGAGGAAATAGGAAAGCACAGCCAGAGGGGTCGAGAGCACGATCCTTTCAGACAAAGAAGAGAAAGAAGCGACAACATCAGTGTACGAAAACGTGATCCCGCTCAAGCATGAAACACTCTCAGGCGGTAAACAATCAGCTGTTTCAATGAGGAGAGGGGGCCACACATTACATAACAAATTGTGACCAGTTGGGAGCATCTTTCATTCAGTTTGGGCTTTTTTTCCACAGCTCAGCATTGTTCGCTGTTTCACTTCAGTTAATCATTTTGCACCAATGATCATCAATGAGGACAACACGGTGTTCCCGGCGTTCACATGCTTGAAACAGGTTAAGATTATATCATAGATGAATGTAAGGGGGCGGTTATGGGAGGATGAACACAGAGGAATGCTGAGAAGCATCAGTAGAAACTGTCTCATCTATTGAAACAACTTCTGTAGCATAAAAATGGATTCATGGAGCGATGCTTTAAGAGTCAAATATTCAAACAAACAACAGAGTTCCTACACAGTTGGAATTTTTAATACTTTTCTATACCCTATGTTTTTGGATTATTTTTGGAAATACCTATTTTTCTATTTTAGAAAACAGCATTTTAGAACTGTGGTAATAGTCTGGAAACTTAAATATATTTCCATAGTTTATTTTTAATTTTCTATACTTTTTAAGGCCTGGAAATTGATCAAATTCATTTCCATATTTTCCCATACTTTCATTCTTGTGTAGGAACCCTGAAATAAGAACAAGTCCTTTTAGTTGTGCACATACATCTGTGCAAGCTGGTACTTTTCCTCCTCTTCCTCGTATGATTCACTCCCTATGATATCATTTTCGGAGGAAAACCACAGGAAGAGAATTCCTTCAGTCGCTTCCTGCCCACGCATTTCCTTGTACGTATGGTGAGATAGACGCAGTCCAATCAGGAATGAGATGAAAGTGACCAAACCCTCTGAGGTAAGCACCTGATTTGTAAAGCAGGAAGTGATGTGCTGGTCTTAATCTTAACGGGAATAGCTTATCACTTTAACATCATGTGATTCATCCTCACCAGGAGGCAGGACATGAGGTCAAAAATTCATCAGAAGGAATCATAAAAAAGTGCACGTTTTTGTCTTATATGTAAATAATACAAGAATAAAACAAAACAATACAACTTCTATCAATATGAGGTAAAAGTGGTCTCTAAGTGAGCAGATTATCCTCATAAATCATTCATGTTTCCACAGACAAACTGATGATGAACAGTTTGTGCTTTACAGAGAAAGTTTTTTGGGTGGAGCAAGAATCAGCAGACTCTCTCCTGCATGTTGTGATTAACTGTACACTTGTGTAAAGACAGCGTGGGAGTGGCAAACAAGTCAAAGCAGGTGTTTTATCAACATATGGCACAACACACAGGAATGCTTTTTCACGGCATGTTTCATCTGTGCTTTGCAAGACCGACACCTTAATCTAACAAGCATTTTTTTTCTTCTAATTTGGCAAAGAAAACCCCTACTACTTTCTTGTCACATCAGCTTTTTTTCTACTGTACACTTTTAAGGCGAGGCGGAATCTTGCACTGTACTTGCAGCGCTGCAGTGACACTGTACACCATAGAAGTACCAGTCTGGTTCCCCTCCCAGAATTACAGTGTATTTAAATGTCCCCTGAAATAGGCATGCTGACACAGGAGAAGTGAGTTTAAACCCTGCAAGTAACTTGTAAGGTGACAGCTTCAGTCTAGTCCCTATTAACTGTGAAAGCTTGCTTATATTTGCAGACAGAAACGTGCCAAATCCATGTTTTGGCAGACATCCGTGGGCTGGGCAGCTGTAATTACAGTTAACAAGCAGGTCTGTATTCTTTCTCTGAAACCCTGAAATCACATTCATCTGCTTTGAAAATTCTTTAAAATATTTGAGCTTTAAGTGCTGAAAGAAAATCACCTGATCAGTATGATGAAAAAAAAACTACACATGCACAAATAGACAAAAAGACTATTTCAGATGAGTTTTGCATAATCTAGCATCAGCAGTCAGTGTCTGATGAAACTATGTTAATTCATGTTGAAGTTATCGGCAGGAAGTGAGCAGACTGTCATTTCAGACAGCTTCTGCAACATCAGTCGATCTCATTCTACCCCGCTTCGCAACTTGAACTCCAGTAACCTCCCGGATTCCTCAGTCAGTCTTTAAAAAAAACTACCAGGGGTTTCATAGCCAAGAGCTCTTTGCTCATTGGCTCACATATGTGGTGTGTTGTGGGCTGGACCAATGAGAAGCTAGCCTGACTTTTCTCTCCCCTCCCCCCTCTCCCTGCACAGGGAACCTTAAAGACGGAGCAGAAAAAAAGGGCCCGCCCCTCTGCTGCTCCCACAGCTCTCTCAGGCACCGCACTCATTTCCTCACATCTTTACGACTGAAAGGACTATAATGTGACCGAACATGCCAATCATTCCTGCATCCTGTCCTCCACTGACAGCCCCCCAACTCACCCACCCACCCACCAACAATCCACATCCAATCTCTGACAATGAACGGATGAGACGTATGTGGCTTTGCAGGGGCTGAACCAGGCATGACCCACTTTATACATCCAGACATCAGCATTGTGATGTCTGCGGGAAATGGGAGTAATGGTATACTACCTCTAACCTCATTGGGTTATTCCCTATGATGAAATTGTTCCTAGTACTGGATTTTTTGAGTATGACCGAGAGCAAAAGCAGCACAAATGATCTGTGGCTGCCACATTTTGCAGATGTTCATATGTGGCCGTTTCAGAAAGTCCAAACCACCAACAGAACAGGAAGCTCTTGACTTTAAATACCGTAATTCAATTAATTTTGCAGGGGTCCTCCATGCATTATCAGCCAGGGGAACATTAGGAACATAAGTGTGGCCCATAAGACACACTTGTGGTTTGGTTCATCCCAGTTGTGCCCCAATTTTAACACGATTCAAAAGCAACCAGGGAGAGTTAATAAGCTGGTGTGGCACTGGGCCTTGCATCTCTCTGTGGTGCTCATTACACAAGCTGCCTGGAAACCTCTGGGACCTTTCCCTTGTCTTGTCAAAGTGTCAGTAACTCTCACCTTTTAGCCTGCGCACCAAATAAAGCTCGGCATGCGCCAAAATAGCGGAGGGGATAGTAGTTCTTAAATGTCTTCTGCAATGAAAGGAGACCGTATCTATAACCAGCAGCTTCCTCCGACACCCTATACTTCGCTCACGTAATAGTGTTACTCAAAACTTTTAAACACTCTTCAGGTTTTGCAAGATCTGCAGTTTTTGATAACACAGGGGCCCTGTTAGATGTTAGATGGCCATTCAATATGAAGAAAACTGAAATAAAAGGCATGTAGGTTGCTAAAAGACAGAGGCATTTATTTGGGGGAGGGGACATGGTGGCCTAAAGAAAGGGGTCAGTAACCTCTCCGAGAAAAAAAAAGGCCTAAAGCGATTTAAGCGCCCCACTCCGTCTGCATTGTCACCACCCACACACATAGATGCAAGCGGCATTTGAACACTCATTTTGCTGCAGGGTCAGTCAGAGGCAGAAGAGACAAAATTGAAAAGAACAACAAAATATTAAGTGTAATGTTATTTTAGGTTCTGCCTTTTTTCCAAATAAGAATATCCTTATATCTCAGCAGATAGATTTAACTCTCGGTGTTTAACTGCTTGCCAAGAGGAGCTGACTTGTAGCAGGGAGGAGTTATATTTGTCATTGCCATGCTAAAGGCCACGCTGTGGGAAACGTGCAGGACCAGCACCTACAGGGTCCTCCTAAATTTGTTTAGAAAAAAGAAAAAAAAAATTCCCTCACAGTTTGGCTTTAGTGGACCAGCCTGGACTTTTTCAGCTCAAGGCATTCTTCAGCAGACTGTATATGTTTTGGTCTATATGCACAGCAGCAGCAGTTCAGGATTTGTGTGTGTGTTTAAGCAAGAGAGGGGGGGTCAGTCCTTGAATGGACACATGGAGGCATGTGTTGGCCATGAGGAAGTGGTGTAGCAGTAATTGCATCAGCATGTCCCGCAGTAACCCCTCTAGGGGAGATGGAAGAATTCAAACACAATAAGCCCCGCCCCCAAACAATGACACATGTAGAGCGCACTTTGATTGGACAATATCCTCTCACAGCTCTGACTCACTGAGGCTGATAGTGTCACCCCCCCAGTGAACCCCTCTGACAGTAAATAAGTGACATCAGGCACGGTGATGTAACAGAGCTTATCAACTTGGTAATGGAAACAGTCTGAGATAATCCAACTTTTACCCAACTTTACCTCAAAATATAAAAACAAACTGTTTCTACTGCAGAGTTGTAAGTTCAACCTACCAGGGCAGCATACGTCCAAAACGGGTCCAGGGGCTTCGGGAGACCAGGAAGCCCACTGTGGGGTCTGTTACAGCATCCCATGCTCGGCCCACAAACAAGATGATGGAGGCGTAGAAGGGATCAAGCTGAAATAGAAAAGACAAGACGATTAGTCCCACTGAGACACTACCTGACTGTATGAAAATATGAAGAAATACTTTAAACTGAAGTTTAAGGTAAATTATTGTTGATCAAGACGACTCAAGTGAAGTTTCCTCTGCCTTAACTACTGTAATGTTACTTCAAGAACTTGATTCAATATATACAGTTACAAGGTCTATGAAAAAGCTGTCATTTGCCACTTTACTTTGTTTGCTGAAACTTAACTGGAGCCTCATCTGATCGCCAAAAAAAACAGGAATGTAAAAAGTCAGCGTACCCTCAGCTTCATGTGGTAGCTCAAATGTTCATTTTTACCCAGTGCTGAAAGTGAAACCACTGAGCATGTGTAGTTTTTTCAAGAAATTTACAATTTGTTGATTGTTTCTGTAAACATGAGACTTCTGCAGCCCTCCGTTAAGCTTTTCTGTAAAGATGCATTATTGCTTTAAAACAGGACCTTATACTTGACATTACATAATCTCACTTGGTGACATTTAGATATTGACTTGTTTTAAGTCAACAGTCAAACACGTAGTGTTTAACTAGGATAAAGTCAAACAGCAAAGGTGCCACTCGGCAGATCACCCCATCCACTATCCTCTGTGTTGAGACAGGCTTGACTGGAGCCACTGCAGACCAGGCATGAAGAATACCTAACTCCTGACTGTACAATGCGCCACGCTGCGTCGGCCAATAGACTCTTAATCAACCATCTTGGTAGCTGGACAAAGCGCAACCCCTGGGAAGCTGTTGACTTACACGCTATTTTGGCCTTAACATCAGATTAGTGTCAGAGCCTATTAAAACGAGCCCCTCCTTGTCGTGCTACCACCAAGCCCCCCTCCCGACATATTATTCAGAAAAAGCCATTTAAGCCTTTTGATACAGCTGAGCCACATCATGGAGTCAATTATGGAAACTTTGTCCACCTCTTCATTTTTCCAGGATAATCGTCCCCTTTGTGAGCAAGCTTTGGTGGTCACAATGTCCTGTGTGTGCCCCCTTATGGGAGAGGTGATTCGGGGGCACAGAAAGGATCATGTACAGTTACTTGTCTGCAGCTTGTAAATACCAGCACAAATTATATGGCAGGACACATGGAGAACAGAAGACATAGTGGCAGGAGTACAGTGTGTTCTCATTCCTTGGGGAGCTTGTCCTTAAAGGGTGGCAGGTTAACTAAATTTAGGTGTACGGTGTGAAAGTGTCACCTAATTTCAAGGTAGGTGTAATTTTAGATTTTCTTGGTAATAATCTTAAACAACTCACCTGAGCTACATCCAGTAGATAGATCTGCAGAAAAAATCCCAAGGCACATCCTGTGATCTGGTAGGGTGCTCCACCGATTGCATAGCACAACTTGTTGCAGATTGATAACCTGTTCCGATGCTCACGCTGAGAGAAAAGAAAAAGAGATAAAAATAGAGGTAAAACTGTTAATCATAATTCAGACTTTTACCCTAAAGGTGAACAAAGACAAAGAGTTTCAAGACAAGTGCAGACAAAATACCTTCTGTATTCATGAAGAATATACTGCCTAGTAGAAAACACAGATTTGTATTCCCTGGATGGGATGACTTTGGCTGATTTTGAGAGTAGTGATAGATCCTACGCATACAGTCAGAAATTCAAGAACAATTCAAAGGTTATTTTCTTCTCTCTAAGCCTTTAGTTCCTTTATTTTTCCACTATCACCCCATTTCTTGACAGGACTTTACTTGTACTGCCCTGCAAGAAATCTGGTCTGATTTCTTCATCATCAGAGAGTCTTTAGAAGAGACTAACTGCCTGAAAAAGCCAACTATCATGCAGGGTAGTTGGCAGACGACAGGGGACAGCCACCGAGAACAAGAGCCCTTTGGTTTTCTGACAAGTGCTCATTCTGCCACATTTTCTTCACTGAAGATGTGATAATTTCCTTAACAGAGACTCTAAACAACTCTAGTAAAAGAAATACAAATCTTTACAAAGTGGTGCCAGGGCATAGCCTCACCATGGTGTCACACACACCAAAAAGCCTGGGTGACAGCACTTTGGCAGCCCTTAGAAACAACTCGGTGTCCAAAGCGAAGCCCTCCAGTTTGACCACAGACAAATGAAAACACACCCTCCTCCCTGACCAATCAAGTTCTGTGTATTAAATGAAGAAAAGGCTACATTAATCAACTTAAACAAAAGCTGTTTTAAAAAAATCAACAGTAGCTTATGAAAATGGCCTGATACTGGAGGTTTGTTTAGTGTTTCCCAGGTATATGTCAGTGATAAGAAAACAAACACTTCCCCATATTAAATCAGACCATCACACAAAGCATCTTTGTGAATGAACAAGCTCTCTGTCATGTCAGCCAACCTGCCTTTTGTTTAGGTGACAAATCCCTCTGTGGCAGAAACAAGAAACCTGCTCCGTTAAAGGGAATTATCTGAAGTTCAGGGTCAGACCACAATGGTTGGCAGTACAACTCTTTGACTATTAAGTGATCTGGGTCAAGTCACCATGGACTTGGATGCGAGGTCTTCAACGTGACCCAGGTATGTGATGAACATAATCCATCAAGTCAAACACGACTATTAACTGTGAAAAGACTGGGCACTTGAGTGTGTTTTACAGGTACAGGTTCAGGTTCTACCTGTATACATACAATCATTGACAAGTTTGCCCCTCCTTGTTTTAACATGGTTTTGCAGTGAGTGTATCAGCTTTGGGTCAAACTTAGGAATGTATTGCTAAACAATGAATGAAGGGCTTCACACCTAAGCATGTGAGTACTCCTCTTTGTGATGTCTATTATAATTTAATCAGTTACAAAAGAATGAAAGTGTTTCTGATGCCTTCTCCAAAAACAGCATGATCTCAGTATTCAATGAAGATGCTTAACAGTGCTGTGTGAAACTGAAACGAGAACTTCCTCCTCCCTGAAGCATCTTGGTTCTGTTATTAGTGCTGCCAGTAATGATATACCACCACTGCAGACTGATAACATGCTTGGGGAAAAGATAAACCTACAACTGTTGGGTTTTCAATAACTACCATGCCACCAATGTAATTTCATGCTCAAATGATAGATTTGGACAATCCCAAAAGAAAGGGGAGCATAGGTAGAGATGTAAATGTCAAAATTCCCATTTATTGGTGCCATTATAATGTGTGCCTGCTCCTCTGGGTGTGACACGTTGCCTTGGAAGGGGCTTCCTGCTGCATTCAATGCCATCGGGCACAAAGGAATACTCGCTACAGCTTCGAAATATCAAGTGATTCGATTTTTATACACAGGGGAGGAATTTCGGTGATAGAAAGATTACATGAACACGAGATAGAAAAGGAAAAGCTTGTGCAAGTTTAGCCCCCAGCGCAAACAATGTCAGATTTTTTCTGCAGATAAAAAAATGTCTAAAAAAAACTTGCATTTTTTGCTAGTATTTCAATAAAACTGGTTTATCTGTGAAATAATAGTGAAACCTTAAACAATCTTTCTTCATTTTTGCGCACTTCAGTTGGGCCCTGAACGCATCACATGGATATTCGGTGGCTGAATAGCTGATGAAACTGATTTGAGAATGAAATGTTAGTCAAGATCCAGCATGCAGCTACATGTCGAAAACGTCTGTGTGACTGCTAATTTTATCTAATTTGTTTAAATAAAGCGGAAATGAAAAATCGCTGCGTATTATATATCCAATTTCGCGAGCTTAGTCTGATGCTGCTTTGAAAGGACCTCGTTTGAGAAAAAAGACATTTAAAAATAGCATTTTCTCGGTTTCAATTCATCTGTACGAAGCTTACAGCCTATTAAAATCTCTTTAATTTGTCTTTAAACATCTCTACCAAACGCAGCCCATCTCTCCATATCTCAAACCGTCGATAAGCCGTAGCCTGCATCTAATTTGACCATTGAAGAATGAAAGTATTACTAAGAGAAGAGGGAAAGGGCTTGCCCAGGCTCTGTTAAGCTCAAGTATTAGTGTCTTCACCTTTCAAGACTGACAGGTTAAGATTTCTACCACATATTTGAGAAATTCACTAATGAAATGAGTCAGTGTGGACACCTGTTTCGGCTGGTTCCTGTTTAAAAATGTCACAATGAGCCACGCGCGCTTGACTACTAACGTCTGTGATTCAACCCTCGACAATGTCAATTTACCGGTGTGTTCAATTTATTCAAACGTGCCAAACCCACTCCCCTGAGAAAAAAAAGCCCTCGACTAGTTCCGCCTAATGAGACGATCTACACACAAATCCACTGTCAAAGCTCCTTTTTTTAGATTAAAAATGAATGAAATAACATACCTTCTTGGCAAGCGTGATGCCATCCGAGCTGACCGGTTTATTCAATAAACTGGCATTGGAGTACTGTTCACCACCCTCTCCTTTTGCCATAGCAGAGTAGCTCGGTTTTTTCTCTGATGAGGTTCACGCGAAATACGTTGAAATATCAAACAAGCTTTCTTGGTATGATTCGAAGGAACACGTCCAATAGTGTCGTCGTGGTCTTTGAAACTGAAGGGCTGGGAGATGTGGATGGATGTAGTAATTTTTTTCTCACAGCTCCCCGCCCCTTTCAACGTGCCATTCAGGCCATCTGCGACCCCGCCCCTCTGAAGGCGGGCAAAGTCACACATCAGAATGCAGACGCCGTCATGGAAACAAACGCATTTTATCTCCCTGCACATTTCTATTATGACCGCGCCTTAAGTCTTTGGTAATTTCAGACATAAATATGAAAAGATGGGGCATAAATTAGAGCCAGCAAGATGTCTTTGTTTAACATAAGAATGCCCATGGGTGCTACTGCTGTCTATACAGGCTGATATTTGGACTATATGCAGGCTATAGTCGTTTTGCAGTAGGGGAGAGTGGGGTAAGTTGAACCAAAGGGTAAGTTTAACCACCCCCCTTGCTTGGAAATGGTGAAAGAAATTGATCATGTGACCAAATATGTAGGAGATGGGCATCAATTCATGGAGTCTGTGAAGGTGAGAAGCACATGGGTGAAGGGGTTAGACATTCATTTCCCAAAAAACATTTTTTTTCACTCTTGACAGTGAATTTAGTTCATAAGTTTTATTAGAATTGTGTTCAGACCAAAAAAGTTCATTTTAAATTTGTTTTATACATCAACTGTGGTGTCCATGAGCTACTCTATGAGGTCAAAAACCTAACATAAAAGTCCACCATTTTAGTTTAGAGGATTAATAAAGTAAGTTGAGCCAGTGTCTCAACTGAGAAAGTAAAGGAGTCTGATGAGAGGATCAGAGTTTCAGCTCAGATTGTTTAAATGTGTTACTTTCTCTTTTCAAAAATACTGCTGTGAATGATCTGAATCACCTAAAGACATTCTCATGTTAAAATGGCTTTTTACAAAACAGCTTTTTAGAAGTTGTATGCAATGATGGATGTAGAATTATTGTACCAGTTGTATAGCGTATAATCGATAAAAATACACATGAATGTGAAGAAGTGACTGTTATTTAGGGAGAGAGAAGGTGAGGGAGGGCTGGGGTGGAGAGTGGGGGGGAAGTAGAGAAACGGCTCAACTTACCCCGCTCTTATGGTTAACTTACCTAATACACGTGGTAAGTTGAGCATAGGAGACCATTTTTTTTGGTATGCTATATTATCAAGACAGTTATGTTTACACTCATTCTGTTGGTTTGCAGGGATGCACAACATATTGAAATATAAGTGGATACACGAGTTTGAGACAAAACTATGATTGCCTTTATGTAATGATCTGAAATATGAAAAATGGCTCATCTTACCCCACTCTTCCCTAAACCATATTCATCCTTTTTTATTGACCAATGTCTCAAAGTGAATATGACATAAATAAAACGGATCTACTTGTATACCATGAAAGCTCCCAGGTTAAAAATTGTAAAAGCACCTGACAACAAGTATGCTACACATTTGGACAGTATAAAAGGCTTTTACAAACACAATTATACCATATATTATTGGTGTAGCCTAAATGAATATTTTTCCGTTTTTTCCATCTAGAAACTGACTGAAATTATTGAACAATATTTTTATTGTAAATCAATATATTAGTTCCCAAATCATGTTTTGCAAACAGTTTCAGATGTTCAAAATGCAGCTAACATTATAACAGTGTTTCATGAACTTAAAGGATGCAACTGCATTTACATACAGTGACACAACTTTTGCATAAATTGTTTGCTCTAGTCAATGATTGGCTAATGAGTTTGTGTGGGTTTGTTTGTGTGTTTTTTCTCGCAAACCTTGGTCAGTATTTACTTCCTCACAAGTTCAGCATCTGCTAACAGCTCAAATTGACCATCATTAAAGACAGATCATTGGGATTTATTAACATCTTAGGATATGGACCCACATATAGCTGGGCAGTCTCATCTGAAGCCTGCGTACGATTTTTCATGTGTGGTAAAACTAAAAACAGCTTTTTCATGTGGTTGATCAGGGGCTGCCAGCCTGCTGCCTGAGGGTTTCTAAAATTCTCTGACTGAAGGCCTTATTTGACAAACTTGTTCAACTTTAATGAGAGGCTGTGCATGTACATGTGCTGATTTTAGCTGAGCACACATACCATGAAGCCAACAGTATACATATACAGTATTTGTACATTTCCACTGGTGCTGAGTATGAATGCTCATCTGTGTGTCCAGCAGGAGCCACTGGGCTGCAGGGCATGTATAGATGTTTGATTAGTTAACATGTGTCCACACATGTGCATGCCGTCTTCACAACCTCATACACACTTTAACTTGCCTCAGGAAAGGCCACACACACCTGCCACCTCCCCAAGCTCAAATAAAGATTTACAATATGAGTTTATCGCTGAATTATCCTCCTGTTTGTTTACACACCCAAAAGACACACACACACATACACAAACACACCACTGTCAGTGAGAATCTTCCGGCATCATTATCAAACATCTGATAGTCGAATTGAACCTTAACCTTGCCAACTGTACAGTCTACCTCAGACTAAGCACACGTGGTGTGAAAGTTAAATTGTACAGACAGATCAATATGTGTCAACAAGCTGCTGATAAGATAGGACGTTACGATCCGGCTGCTGAACTCTCTTCAGTGAAATTCAGGTGACAGTCATTTTGTGAAGTAGCTATACAGAGCCCAAATCTATAATGCATTTATATGTTTAACAAATTCAAATATTCTTATTTCTTTTCTTTTTTTTCAAAGGGCCATCAGACATATTTTAGAATAAAAATATCCCCATTTGTTATGATTATGTATGCAATGCATGATTATTGTCTTCTAAAAGCAGTCCTATCTGTCAGTAAGCACTTGGTGCTCTGACCAAATGCACATTTAAGACATTTTGAAAGGGTTTTTTAAAAATGTGATAGACATCGACTGATGAGAATTATTTGTGAAGGTGGATAACAATAAATGTCGAATTTTATTAACAATGAAATACGCCTTTGATCAGCTACACTAAAGCATTCAGCAGCTAATGTCAACGTAGATCATCATGTAAATATTACAATGCAACTGAATCTGAGCCAATAAGCTGACTTTACAGTATCTTTATAGCTTTGTAGGCTTTGTGTAAATCTTCTGTGAAACTGTTATTCAAAGTTCCTGTAAATTATATCAGTTTGTGCAGTTTTGAGATTTAGAGTTTAAATAGGACACTCTTAAAAAAAATGGAAATAAAAACTTTTCCACAATATTTAATAATATGGAAAAGCTTACATTTTTAGTTATCTTAAGTATGTTGACTTGTAGCAGTTGCTGTTGGGGCTCAGTTACTCTTTATTGCCCTTTATGGCAAGAAAATAAATTAAAAATAAACCTGCATTGCCTTTAGGCACTACATGACAGCATTATACCTAGTTGGACTTGAAGCCGTTTCACTCACTCATGTTGTTTCCTGCTGTCTACATCTTTACTTGTGTTGTCTCAAATGTACATCACTTTGGACAAAAGCCTCTGCTAAATGAGAGTGTAACTGTAAGATGATGCCACACAACATCCCGAGGGACCCAGACCTAATCTAAGAGGGTACTTCCCCGTGGATCATTTTATCTTTTATTTCTGGCTGGCTGACCATAGAAAGAGTGTTAAAATGGCATACACCCCCAGAGAAGTTGCTGTGACCGTATGTGTAACTTAAGACAATTTTAATATGTGCAAAAATGTGTTGGATTCAGCTGGAGGCGCTGTGACCGATGGAAAGGAAGTGCAACTGGGGACACTCTCAATGGCACTGGAAAAGCTTGATCCTAGCATGGGCACAACAAACAAAGCTCAAGCCGGTTGGCATGTGTGCGTAAGTGTGTGTTTGAGTTTGTGTTTGTGTCCTCTGAGCTACCTGAACCCTTTACGGAGACACGAGTGTTGTTAAAGTCACCCTGCTTGTTGATAGCCATCACATTAGCACGTGTGACGACTGTACTATGTGAAAGTAGATTTATTTATCATGCATTCTGTAATTTCATTGCATCTGTGAGGAGCCTTATGACTGTGTGTATTTGTTGCCAAACACAGCGTGCAATAAGATGGAGTGACTGCAATGTGCTGAATGTACTGACTGTCCAATAGGTCAAGCTCTGTGTGCGTCATGTCAGCCAAGCGGCTGGGTATGCATAGCTGCAGGTGGGATGGAAACTCAGGAGGGGGAGTTGTCATGTGCCCTTTATTTAAAAGGTATTTTCTCATGAAGATGGATTCACAGAAGACACGAGTTTAGCTGGAAGCAGTTGTTCTCTTTGTGGATTATCACATGCCAAATAAGTTAAAAGGAAAATGTAAATTCACATGATATGACATGATATATTAAAGTTCATGTCTAAGAAGACTGGTTTATGAAATTTCATCAATGTCATTTCATTGGAACTGACCCAGCTTGGCATAGCAATTCTGGCTGAACAAGTCTTTTTTGGCAGTCATTATCCTGTAGGGCATAATGGGATAAGATCTTTTATTGTGTATTGCCTCCTTAACCTGTTGGTACCTGTAACAAAGTTCATTCCTTTCATTTTCCAGTTGATACAGCATAATGCCTCCAGCTAAATTAGCCTTAGCATTAAGGACTTCCTAACAATGCAGTCTGCAGTCTAGGCCTTCAAGCAAAATTTCAAGGGGTAGGCTGCAAAATGAAGAAAACGTAAGTATATAAATTTGGTTTAGGTTTGGTTTTTTTTAATCTGTATTGTTTATCACACACACACGCATATTTTCAGCAAAGAAAAAGGTCACTTAATTCTAAAAAAAAAAATGTCTAAGTTAAATATCAATGAGTTCATTCTTGAAGACACATGAACATCTTTATATTTGCCATACTCTCACTTTGTCAGTATGCCGACCATAAAAAGGCTCAAATACCTGGTTGATCTTAACTTGACAAATCTAAGACCGACAGTCAAATCCTGTTTTATAACTCTAAATCTGTCTGAAGCACCTTAATCTCATCTATGTGGGTACTTTCAGCATGACTGTGCATTTGACAGCGGGGCATTTGATGGTCATGGAGGGGATCAAAAATAAAATCTCCATCCTAAATCCATAGCAGAATGTTGTCTGTCCTGCCAAGTGG